GGAATTGAAAACTCGATTTTATTATATTTATTAATAATTTGAATATAATTAATATTAGAGAATATATTAAATATAATAAATTAACATTCAATCAAATAAAAAAGAATATTTTGTATATATAAAAAAAGATATTTTAATTAGTTAATTTATATTACTACTTAATCAATTTTGATATAGGAGATTATATATAACTTAGTATAAAAGACTTTCCAATATAATAATCTTTGAAAAAACTGGATTACTCAATTTAAAGTAGATTTAAAATTATTAATCAAATTAGAGATTTCTTTCAATTAAATTTACTATTTATTATAAAAATCCACCCTATATTTCCATTTAACAAACTCTATAAAACAATAAATAATCTATTTTCTAAATAAATTATTAAATTATTACCTTCAATCAATATTATTGATAATATCAAATAGAAAGTAAAGCACATTTTAACTATTAAGAAAGTATATTAATAATTTAAATATAGAATGTTATAACTAAACGCTGATAACAATCTTATTTGGTATTCTATTTCCAATCTCAAAACTATTTTATATTTCCTTTACGATTTTTATTTGTAAAATCCCTTTTTATTAGGATTTTTTATACATTTATTCAAATAGATTTGTTTTTATAAGAATAAAAAGAATAATTATAATTTTACAAATAATAATCAATATATGAATAAGAAAAATCGAAAGAATTTCTTTTATATATTAAAATAATAAAAAAATTATAATCTTATAAATAATAAAAAAATAATTAAATAAAAATTAAATTACTAAAATAATATAATAAAGAATATCTTTCCTTTATCTTGGCAATTTTAAAGTATGTTAGAAAAAAAGCTTTTGTAGATATTAATAATTACAATTAAATAAAATATAAAAATAAAAATTAAATAATTTAAATCAAAATACCAGCCAAATCTTTAGTTAATAGTAACAACAAGAATATACAGAATAATTACAAGTCAAAAGACAAAACAACTCTTAATTACAGTATATATAATAACAAAACCGAATTTACATTCAGTTATTTGTAATTATTTATGAGTTGCTAAAAGCTTTATTTCTATTTACATTATGATAAATTAATACTACTATTCCAATTTATTTCTTTACATTACAGTTTTGGCTATATAATACTCTACATCCTTTTGAGTAAAAATAATAAAAAGTATTTTTTTCGAAATGCAATTTCTTAATTCCTTTTATAAGTTAAATTATTAAAAAAAGATTAATTTTGTTAAAAACTAATAAAATTATAATTTATTTTTATTATACTACTGTATTTAATAATAACTACTCGATACTGGAGAAATATTTTACAAATCTTTCTGAAGGGTAAATACTTATACTTATACTTATTAATGAAATAAAACAAATAGTAAGTTTGATTAGATAATTGATTAAAAACTTGGTAGTATACACTATTCCCTTTACTAGAAATATAATTATATATACAGTCTATATAAATCTAATTATTCTCTTAAATATATTATTCTTATTATAATACTGTCTTTTTTGATAATCTTTTGTTTAAAGATTTCAATTTATTAATATCAATAAAATCAATACTTCTGTAACAGAGTATATCGAATTTATAATCAAATTAATTTTGATATAAAATCTCTATAATCTTTTTTTTGATAATCTTTTACCTATCATTTTCGATATTATTAAAATGATGTACTATTGTAGTTAATTTATTAATAAACTTTTTTTTATAATTATTAATTTAATTAATTAAAGGATTATATTTTTTCTTCAAATTCTACTTGAGAATATAATAAAATGGATATATTTAATAAATAAATCAAAAATCGATTTTATTTTTGAAATTATTATTTTTAATAATTATAATTATATTTATTAGATAAGCTGATTATATACTGAAAATGAATAAATAAAAAATCTTATTTATATTTCTTATTAAAATTATAATCATTCTTATAATAAAACTTCTCTTTCTCAAACTCCTTCTTTTCAATAAACCGTTTGCCTTATGCAATAGAAGAAGTAGTTACTCTTTTTTCTACAAAATAAATAGAAGAATAAGTTAATAAAGTAAATACAGAAAAAACTATAAACAATTTATTATTACATATACATTCTCTTATTATTAAATCTATACTAATAATAGTTTACTCTTGTTGTTGTATCTTCTTTTTAAGATTGATAGTATATTGATAAAAGATATGAGAGATGAATTGATTAAAAAAGAATTTGGAAAAAAAAAGGAATTCAATTAATCTATATACTTCGAAGGATTTAATCAATTATTAGGCTACAGAACAGTTTTTTTTGTTTTATATATACTTTTTTGTTATAAAAAAGAAAAACTTATGTATACATCTATTTATTATACTATTTTAATTAAATAATAATAATACTACCTTATAATTACCAATTTGATAATTAAAATAGATAATTATAAAGCTTAAAGGCAAGCTTTTTCGAAAAAAAGAATAATATCACAAATCGGTACTCAATTACAATTATAATCACTCATATATGTATATACACATATATACAATCATATATATATAATTAATATATAAATACATTCAATAAACATTTTGCTCCCAATTCTATAATTATAGATTCTAAGGATAAATTATACTCTGCTCTTGCAGTTCTTTTAAGGCAAAGTGTTACATATATTTCCTATAGAAAATTTCGAAATAAATTCTAAAAATATATAAATAAAGTTAATTCTAAAGACTATTCAATGATATAATTTCTTTTATAAAAAGTTTTTAATAAGGTTGAATTTTATTTGTTTTTATAAGATTTCTATAAACATACCATACAGATTCTAAAATTTCTTTTTTCATTAGGCCAAAATCTATTTTTGGGGTTTTGGCCAAATGATTCAAATCGGCCTCAGTAAGTGTGGGTATAATCCGACAAAAACCCGATGTCTCAGATCAAAAGCTTAAATCATCAAGGTTTCTAAAATAAGCTTTGGCAGACGTACGCCTTGACCCACACATGTTTACGACGAGAGCCAGATCTTTCCAAACATTCTTTCTCTTTGGTCTTTCAAGCTTCGCCCAAAGTACGAAGATCAGATGATTGTTTGCATCAGACAGCTGATATCTTCAGATATTGTCGGTTGCTGATTAGTTCATGCATATAGAATAGGGGCAACTAGCATTGTGGTCACCGGAGAGTAGACAACTGCTAACAGTAGGTACCTACGCAGTGATAGATTGCAAAAGCAAACCCTGCTTTTCTAACATTAAGAATTATCAATATCTCTTGTCTCAAGCCTTACTTGGAAACCCCTCGTAAATTTGGGAGGATCTAGCCTTATTGATATGGATCCTGATTCATCATCGGATTGATCACATCCCACACAAATACTCCTTGCGCTAGCGTGAAGCCGCGTAACTAGGGGTTCTAAAAGTAACTATCAAAAGTAATGTGGGTTCATATAAGGTCAAAGTATGGGGTAGCTATTTTTCTGTCAACTTTCTTCCGTTTGTATTCTTCTCTTTTGGCTGTATCGCAGCGTTTCCTTCCTTTCGAGATTCCAATTTGGTTTTGTGGGTAAGGAGTATATGTAGAGGAATTGGAATTCTGATAAGTGTTGAATATGTCTACGGGTTTGGCATCATGGAGTTTCGGGAGTAGAATGCGATCAATGGTGATAGTTGGTGTATTCTTGAGTCTTGTCCTTGTTTATGGGTACGTTCCAAGCTTCTTCACTATTCAATCTTCAAGTTGGGTCAATGAACTCATGATTCACGTCTGAACCTTTCTTTCAGATTCGCATATCGTTTGAACCATGGCGAAATCCAACCAAAACTTAAACCTCTCGACGCCGGTCCTATTACAATTGTTCAAATCGAAACTATAGAACATACGGTGACACATACCAGCACATCAATTTCTGTTTCCACAAAAACTGAATACGCTTTACCAACCTCTACCCTCGATCCCACAAAACTAGCATTCATGGTGGAGACTCGTCCACTACCACATCTACCTCTTCAGCTCACGCATATGACAAGCGTCATTCCACAGGAGTGGACCTTTAAATTTATGGGAAGCAACACTTCCATCAATTATCTACTTGGGTTTCACCACTTGCGAGATCTAGTAGCCTCAAATAAGCTTACTCTCGTTCCTCTCCCATCCCATTGGGATGTCTCAAGTCGTGAATCCATATCTCAGATGTTCACCGACCCCGAACTTTACAAATCCCTCTCCCCAGCCGAACATCTCCTAGTCTTTCAACCCGACTCTATATTTTGCACCAAAGCACCCACTACTCTGAACGATTTCCTCGAGTATGATTACATCGGAGCGCCATGGTCGACATACTCAACCCATGGTGGCAACGGGGGACTTTCCCTCCGTCGCGTATCATCCATATTACGATTGCTAGAAAAAGAAAGACGCAAACCCGGAGATGGAGCACTTGAAGATTTATGGCTGAGTACAGGACTGAACAAGCTGGAAGGGAGTAAAATGGCAAATGCAGCAGTGAGCAAGACTTTTAGTGTGGAAAGTGTTTGGGACGAAGCTCCGCTGGGTTATCATATCGGATGGTTGGGGGTACACCATGAACAGGTTCGTCATCTCATCATTTCTTTTCTCGCTTCTTATCCCGCTGGCAAATATGTATTGTTTCCTCTGCATCAATTTCACGGTAAAAGCTCAAATTTGTACTGCCCGTCGTGTTCTTTCCTTTCCAATCTATCCATTTTGTTCCCTCCCGAAACCCGAAACAACCGGAGAAACTAACGCCAACCCCACCCAACAGATCTGGGATAAACCCGACTACGTCTCCCACATAATGAACTACTGTCCCGAAGTGAAAATCATCTTGGGCATGAAACTAGATAATGATAAGCCTCAAGGCGTTTCCTAATCTTGCACTTTTCTCTTCTCATCAATCTATCTTCATGCTCTTGTGTATCATGTATGATTTATTTTATCTTCCTATCTATGGAAATAATATGTATGAAAACATGTACCATTCAAATAGCAAAACAAGAATGAATAAAAATAAAAAATAAAAAATATAAATAAAAGTTTGAAATCTTGAATCTCAACCTCAAGTATGCGTTCTCAATATTCCACCATTCCCATTCCCACCACTCAAATGCTGTGACTGGTGATGCGAATGACCCGCATGCTGACTCGGCTGCGCAAGCCCAATATTATTATTATTCAACCGATTCGGCACTGCTCCCTGCACATTCTGCACTTGTATCGCATGGCCCGGTTGCGGCACAATGAGATAACCTGCTGCGTTTACATTCGCGTTCGCGTTTGCGTTTGCGGCATGATTACCACCACCTCCTCCATGTCTACTTCCACCTCCTGCATTCGCGGCTAGTAATGCGCCTCCTGCTCGAGCTGATTGTGCTTGTGCTCGTGCTTGGTTTGGAGCTTGACCATGACCTTGAACAGGAGCCTGAGCTAACAAATTTCCAGCGCTCGACCCACCGTGCAGAGCACCCACACAGAGATATTCGAAAAGCACTTTTCTCTTCTCCTCTTTTTGCTCTTCGCGAATGGGCGTGCAGACTCTGCAGTCGCAGGGGGAATTCCTGGTTCCATGGGATTTAGTCTTTTGGAGATGAGACACGAAAATGGCAAGCATTGTTGTATCAGCAGAGCTGTGACTCGTTCCTACTGGGAGATCGTAGGTGGTGAGGAGGGCGTCTAGGGTTTTTGCTATGGGAAGGGAGAGAAGTTAGTTTCTTTCTTTCTTGGGATGTGGGGATGGGGTTGTGATGATGGGGTTCGGTGTATGTATGTGAAATGGGATGAAAGAGTTTCAGGTATTCTGAGGGATAGTGTGGTGTAAGGGGCAAGGAAACGAGGAAACAAACTATCCATAGCCAAAAAGTCCTTAACTTTCAAAGGACGTTGAAAATATTTCGGATGTTTCCCTTTAGCGTCTAGTTTAGGGTGAACCTCAGCGTTGAGCATAGATGGTCTGATGATACCATTTGCAACCTGGGCGCACATATTGACTCTGAGAATCATAAGTTAGTTTCCAAGAAACTCAAAGTAAGACAAGGAAGAAGAAGAAAAGAAAACCAAAACAGGGATACAAACCGTCTAATCTCTTCTAACAAGGCAGTTTTGCTCTTCTGTGTTGGTGAATCACTCGAATCCGAACTCGAGTCCGAACTCATAATTGCTTGTCTAGTTCCTCCGTTTCCCTTTCTGCCACTACCAACTGCATTCCCATTCGCTGCTCCATTCCCGTTGTTATTATTTCCGCCTCTTCTTCCTCTCCCATGACCCCTACTTTGTGACCGACTTCGCGAGCGATTTCTACTAGTTCCAGCGTTCGCTTGAACGCTCAAATTAGGATTAGGATTTCGACTGTTAGACATTAATCTCGCTATACTAATCGCTGTTCCAGGTGGCAAATTTATTTGCAAATAGCGATGTAAAACATCGCGAATGAGATCCGCTAGAGGGATGTTATTCAGATTGTTTGGGTTATTTTGTTGATTGTTGGCGTGATTATGAGGGGGGTGGTGTGCATGGGAGAGTGGGGAAGGAGAACGAGAAGGGGAGGAAGAAGGAGAGCGGTGTCGATGGTTGTGGTTGTGATTGTGATTGTGATTGAGGTGATGGTGAGGATGGGGATGTTGATGAGGATGGTTGGGAAAATTCATTTTCCTTTTAGCTTTTGGGAGCGGAACCAGAGCGAGTGTTTGAGCTGGTGGTGTATTAATTTGAGGAGGAGGAGCAGGACCAAGAAGGTGGATATGGGTTTGTGGTGGAGAAGGTTTCCTCGGTGGAAGAAGAATGGCAGGAGGAGGTAATACGTGAATATTGTGAATCGTAGGAGGAGGTGGAGGCAAAGGAATGTATGGTGGTGGAAGCTGTTGGACAAAATGTATGTGTTGTCTTGGCGGTGATCTGGGACGAGGAAGAGGTAAATACACTTCCGGCTCTGGCTCCACAAAATGAATTTGCTGAGTTGCAGGCTCTAATCTACGTCTCAAGTCCGGGTCAAAAGGAACTCGTTGAAACACCTGAGGGTGAAGAAGTTCAGGCTCGGGTTCAAGTTCCCACTGCAGCTCTGGATAGTATATGGGACTGATGGGACGAAGTTGTTCGTAGTTCTGTTCCGGAGGAGGAAGTGTAGGTGCAGGAAGAGGATAGACAGGTGTTGGAAGGGGATATCGACGACGAGGTCTTGATAAAGCGAGCGATGCGGGATTGATATATCTTTCTCTTTTTTGTCTTCTTCCGGGGCCCGGGCAAAAGAGACCAAGGCAGAAATCAAGCATATAGAAATGTTCTGAGGAGGATTCTTGGGTGAAAAATGAAGATTCACGACTCTTGTTTATAATAAATGTTTGCTCGTTATCGTAATGCAAAAATGTAAATGTAACACACAGATGCCGGCACGATTAGTGGTTATTAGCCAATTCTGCAGGGTTTTCGTATATATGTTTATCCATGTATATACTAACGGGCCGATTGGATTGAATTATGGAAGTCAAAATTTGGCAAATGCTTACAAAATTGTTTGTGTAGGACCAAAACACCTGGACATCGAGGCTGACTGACGAAAAGCTTAGCGAGGTTGCATATGTTTGCTCAATCGTATTGTTTCACTGTACTAAAAGATGGCTATTGAAGATCATGAGGTGGCTTTTTCAATAGAATGACCGAGTAGAGTGAGTAGATATGAATCTATTGAAATGTCTCATCAATGTGATGCTAGCTGGCTCGAGTATAATCCTCGAAAAACTATGGTATTTGTGGAAATTTCGTCCATAGCCTCATGCTAACCCCAAATATCGCTACTTCACGGAACTTCCGTTGATCAATCACGTCACGACTTCTCAATTGTAATGTGTTCAACATATTTATATGCCGTTTCTCCTTGTAGTAACCGCAATAACCAATCAAAATTGCACAGAAAACGTCCTTTTCGTCCTATACGTGAAAGGGTCATAGACAATGTGATCATTCGGTGTAAAGGGGAACTTTCCACCTTGTCAAATGTGGGATACTAGAAATGAAAAAAAATCGGACCGCATGATGTGGTCAATAGTCATTGAACTCATGTTTCACGCGAGATAGAAAGACTAACAAAATCTCCTGGAGGAGGAGGGGGGGGGACAGTGCAGAACTTTCGTTGATTACCTATATTAACATACTACTACTATATTGGAAAAAAGACGCTACGTAGTCAGTCTCTTATCCAGACCTGAAGCTCTGCGATACGTGGATAGCTCAATGTGAACAACCACCATCTTCAGATTCCTCACCATCACTCTCCTTTGCGCCTTTCTTGCCCTGTTTTGCTGATTTCTTCTTGAACATTGAATCAAGAGTCTTTTGTCCCTTTTTGAGAACTTCTTGCTTTTTCTTATCGGCTTGACCCTGAAACTTCTGTCGTTCATCTGCTCCTAAATCCTGTAAGCGTTGCTCTTCCTCCTTGAACTCCTTGCTTTCAGGATCTCTTTCGAGTAGTCCCTCGAGTAACTTAATTTCCTTAGCCCGCGTAGATGGATCCTCGACAGTCTTTCCCTTTGCGTCTTTCTTCTCAGTTGGTGTTTCGAGAACCATAGGCATATTTTGAAAGGCTTCAAAGTTTACGACATTGTGGAATGCTCGAAGGCCAAGAAATCCAGTACCGATGTTGGCGTGTAAATCTCGGTTTGATGCTAACGGTGACTTGCTGTCATTGAGATGCAAAGCTTTTAGATATGGTAATCCAACAATCTTGTCGAACCCATCCATAGTTTTCTTGAAAGCTTCGGGTGATCTCAGATCATATCCTGCAGCAAATGTATGACATGTATCTAGACAAACACCAACTCGGGATTTATCATCAATAAGAGCAATAATGTCCCGAAGGTCTTCCCATGTAGAACCAATTACATTTCCAGCTCCTGCCATATTCTCCAACAGTGTGATTACCGTCTTCGTTGATTTGTGAGCTTTATTCAATTGAGCTGCGATGCGCCCGATTGCTTCCGGTCTTGGGTTGTCGCCTGTACTTCCCGGATGAAAGTTGTAAAGTTTGATACCTAACTCTTCACACCTTTTCAGATCGTCCAGAAAACAATCGTATGCTTGCTTGGCTTTCTCTTCATCTGGTTGCGCTAGATTAACTAGATATGAACAATGTGGGAGAACGAATTTCGAGGCATCGTATTTTTGTTCTTCGCATAAAGCCTTGAATTGATCGCGAGCTTCAGAAGCTAAAGGAGGATTGACCCATTTCCGTTGAGATTTGAGAAATAAAGCAAATGCATTGCCACCGATACGTGAAGAGTTATTGACTGAATTTTGGACGCCTGCGAGGAATATGTTAGAGAAGATCTTCGCGCCATGAGGAGATACACTTGCCTCCTGCACCACTAACATGCGCGCCGATATGCACAGCCTTTTTCAAAGTCGAAACCAATGTACGTTCTGCCAATGGCATAGCTTCTGCTTCTTTTTCTTCTTTTGTTTTTCTCTTCTTCGTAACCTTCTTCTCTTCCTTGTTCTCTTCGTCTTCGTCCTCCTCTTCCTTGAGTTTGCGTTTCACGGGAGCTTTGTTTTTTGTGACCACTACAGCCTCCTTCTTCACATTAACAGTCTTAGCTGTTTTCGGGAGATCATTGACTTTTTTTTCGACTTCGTTTTCGTCTGCGTCTTCTGAACTGCCACTATCTTCTTTCGCTTTGCTTCGGATACTATTCGCAGCTGACTTTGGAACCTCGGTATTCTCAGTTTTTATATCTTTTCCATCCTTCTTCGTTGCAGCAGACGAGGATTCAGTTCCTGGAACATCTGCAATTTTAGCATTAGCATTTCGACCAGATCTTCGAGGAGGCATCGTTGCTTGCGAGTGAAGTGGTTGTTTTTAGTTCTCAAAGCTCACGGGCTGAAGATGTCCAAGCGCGTCAAGGAAATATAGATTAGCAAAGCGCGTCTCGCGAAGGCACGTGATAAGACATTATCTCGATTTATTTGTATGGTGCCTAGGTAGGCCTCCCATGGACAGCCTGGTAGGATTTCACGGCGTATTATAGTATTAGAATTACATATCATGGCTGGGTGAGAGAGAAAATAAGGGTATCTATCTGCTTTCTGTGTAATGACTATGGTCCAGCCTTTCTACTCTCGACGATCTTCATGACGTCCGCAGCACTATTTGCATCCCCCTTCCTCTTCTTCGATCCTCTTTTCCTCTTGCTTTTACCTTCCCCTTTCTCGTCTTCATCGTCATCTCCTTGGCCCCACGCTGATAGCTTGACTTTCGTCTCGTCAAAATCAGCTTCGTCCTCAAATCGACTACTGCCGAATCCCATATCCATATCCTCCATATCACGATCATCCTGTTGGAGCATCTTTTTCCGCCGCGCTTCCTTTGCGGCCTCTTCTGCAGTTTCTGGAACCTTGGATATAGGGTTAAGTGTTGAGGCTTTCTTGAGGGCGGCGAGAATAGTTGGATCACTGAAAGCTTTTGGCTTGATCTCATTGTCTGTTGTTTCAGGTTCGGATTCGCCAAAATAGTTTCTAGGTTTGTTAGGTCGTGGGGGTGGTGCCATACTTCCAGATACAGCTGGCTCTTGCGGCGAATCTTGAGTCTTGGGCTTCTTTCGTTGGCTATCTTCCGTAACTTCTCCGTCTTCAGCTTCTGCATCTGATTCCGAATCTTCGTCTTCAAGCCCAGCTAATGGATCATAATCATCTCCTGCATCGTCAAATATATCGATATCTTCTTCTTCTGGTTCTGGTTCTTTTGGTATTTCTGGAACTTCCATGCCTAATGGTATTGCATCCTTATCAGGCATTAGTAGACCATGCCCTTTCTCCGCTTCCGATTCAACCTGTAGTTTCCTAACTTTCCTCTTCTCGTTTCCATTCTCATCAACAATAATGAGAACCTCCCGCCCTTTTCCGTCCATTTCAATCCTGCTTGTAGATTTTGGAGCTCCAACTTTTTTGAATCTTGCTCCTAAAGACGGCTGAGCTGCCTCCTTTGCCGCTTGCCTCGCCGCTTTCATCTCTGCCAGAATCTGATCCCTAGTCCTTTTCTTTCCCGGAATCAAACTTGGCGGTGCCATTTCTCCCTTCTTTTTACTCTTCTCCTTCTCAACAGCAACCACATCTTTTTCCTCCAACCTCTCAAATTCGTCGTCCAAATTATCTGGCTCTTCAGCATCATCGTTGTCTTCCTTATTTTCGCTCAAAACATCTTCACCCCTCCTAACCCGCTCCAACAACTTATAATCCAGCCCTTTTACTAAATGCGTACTTTGAACATCACCACCTAATATCTCGTCTCTCAATTTTAAAAATGTAGACTCGTCAATCTGTTGTAATTTCATCATCTCCTCCAGCGCCTTAACTCTGGAGGCTTTATCATCTTCATCCTCATCAATGCGCTGTTTTGTGCGATCAGTATAGCCGGCTGCGAGTTTCGAACCTTTAGGTGCGGCGACTGAGCGAAACTTCTTTGGTTGCGAAGGATTATTTAGAGCTCGTTGTTCAGCGACTTGACGTGCGAAATCAACACCACCCACTGAGCGGCTAGTATGTTCATTAGTACTCACTGTGTGGCTTCACGCAAATGGAGTGTTCGAGCCTTACGGTGTCATGGGTATTGAACTTCGCATTCGAGAACCAAGGGCAGATGGTGTTGCGCCATCTCGTCTGGGAGTTGCGCCAATGCTTGAACTTTTGTCTCCCGTTCCAGCTTGTCTCGCAGGCGTATCTAGCACGAGTTTACGGAACTGTTGATTATTCATAATGATTGTAGTTTGGATTGTCGAATGTCAAAAAATGTCCAGGTCACAAAGCTATCTCTGTGTACCTGTAGATATCTTTGGCATGCGGCAATATTTACAGCAGATCTCACCGCCTCGAATGTATTAGGTAATCCATCTGCATATCTTTCTCGAACGTAAATACTATTAGGTACACACAAGAACTCATCTCAACCACTTCAGACATGTATATGAATCTTGATTTATATCCATTCTATGATGAATTTCGAAATCTGCTACTTAGAGTATCGAACATGAGTTCCAGGATCCCGTAAATACTATCAATTTGTATGCCACTTCCTCCCTTTCAAAAGATGAAAGTAACTACATTTCGAAGCTCCATACCACATCCTTCGCACTCTCCCTGGGTACTATATTAACCATAAACTCCTTCTTGGGCGGACCTGACTGGGTAGACATGTTTTCGAGATCTTGGCCCGGGTCAGTCCAATCATTTCCATCCGGAATAATATCAAATCTCATCGCAAACATTCCTGCGAAAGCGGCAATGATATTTGTCACAATTCCCTGACCTGGACACCTATTCGCTCCTCCTCCAAAGACACGGAATGCGTTTGCAGGAGTTTTGCCGTAGAATCGATCAAAACGAAAGGAATCTGCCGTCTCTCCCCATGCACGCTTGTCAAAGTGTAGTCTATTGTTTGCGATGATTACCAGGGAATCTTTCTTGAGTAGGTATTGTTGATCTTTACCGACAAAGGTGTCTTCCATAACGAGGCGAGGTCCAGTACCAGTTGATCGGAACCTCAGAGTTTCCAAAATCAACGAGGAGAGGATTGGTAGTTGAATCAGCTTCTGTAGGTTGATCGTACGGATTGTCTTTCCTTCGGCCGAAACTTCTGATGTTGTCAGTTCTCCTACTTGGGTCCGGACCTGCTCGAGAAGATTGGCATCAGAAAATAAATGATAAATAACCCAAAACGCCGAAGGAACTGTGTTGGATAAGGATGCGACATTGATCAGATTTTCATTTTTCGCCAGGTCGCTGTGACGACTATCCGTATGGTCGACTAACAGTTCAAATCTATTCTTCATGAGATCTGAGCCTCCAGTTTGTCCGTCGCTCGAGAAGTAGTCTTGGAATCCCTTTACAACTGCAGCCCGACCATGTACAGCTTCAGTAGCGATGAACTTCGTCAGGAACTCGGGTAATAGAAGTTTCAATGAACCGTCAGAGAAAGCCCTATTTCTGTCAGTACTCGAGTTTTGCTGAGGATGTTGCGTGATGTTGACTTACCAAAATCCTGCTTCGACCTCTGGATCCCGGAAAGGATTCTTGTCTCCATACAAACTGTCTGTAATAACAAGGGTCAATTCGTGTTGCAACCATTCTAATAAGTTGACCTTCTTGTTTTGATTATTTTCAGCTGGATTTGCCCAATTATCTAGTTGATCCTTCGTAACTTGTGTTCCAATACGAAGCATTTTTTTTATTGATTCTGTGGAAGCGAGTGTACTCTGGATCACCTTGATTCCTTGAAGCATCAGACTTGGATTCTCTTCTGAGGACATATTAGTGTGCATCCTGTCTGCTGCAGCTTTAGTCAGGCCAGCCAGTTTCACTGTGAATTGCGCTTCCAACTCCCATAGCGAAATTGCTTTGTATTGACGATGAAGAGATGGAATAAAGTCGGCTGAAGTGACGATATGGATGTCCTTATGGAGCATTCCGATAGTGAAGATTGGAAAATCCCATTTTTGACTGTTGAATGCAAAGAAAAAACTTGTTAGTACCTGAGCCCAATCTAAAGATACAATCGGGGAGTATGGCTTACCTCAAAGTATTGTAGTATTCATTTCTGTGCAGGAAGAGACCAATAAAATGACCAATGAATGGTATAGTTGAGGGGATGCGAACTGGCTCCATGGAGTTTTTCTCGGCTTTTCTGGGTAAGAGTGCATTAACACAGAATATGACGATGCCCAAAGCAAGGACACAATAAATTTGAAAGTTCTCAATCATCTTTTCGAACTGAGTTTTGTCAGAATGTTTTTGCTAGTTGTTGATGCAGAGCTTGTATATGTGTGTGTGTGATGGTTGAATTGAGAAGGAAAGAGATGTCTGTGAAGAGTTATTTACTTTAAAGAATTGTTGGTCTTTTAAAGTAATACCCTCTTCAAACTGCATCCTACTGAAGATGTGGTACGTACTAGAGATTTGTTTGGCCTCTTTTGAAAGAATAGATCCTTTTAAGATGAAAGGACTTTCCTATATGGCAAGATGCATTACTCTAATATCCAGCTTCGATACTCATGACCGATAAAATAGCACTCAAATGTCTTTAGCCGAGGGACCCACTCATTATACACCAGCTAAAATTGAAATTAGTTGTATTTCATGACCAATCTACTTTTGATTCACTTAATAGCAACTAGAATATTTGCAAGTTTTCCAGTCAGTCGAATTCTGCGAGGTTCTTTTTTTGTTATTATCTTATTATCAACCAATTTGCATCATATTCTTCCCCTCCACCCGCATATCGAATACCGTGCTAGAATCTTGTATCATAGACACGCTATATACAAGAAAAGAGAGATTCAGTTCGATATTATCACTTGTCTATTCGAAAAGTTTACTTTATTATGAGCTGACAATGTATAAATTTGTACCACTGCCTTTTCCTTCAAGCACTGACTGAGCGATCTGGCTGAAAAGTGACTGCAAGTGTGCTAACGATCTCACTTACCACTTCAACATTCACCTTTTTTTCACTCTCGTCAAATGGTTTTTCAGAGATTAATGGTCTGGTCGTTCTCCATTTGCTCGCATTCGCCAAGTCGGACGAATTGCATCTCACCCTATGCCGTCTTGATTCACTTTTGGTGGTACAAGGATTCATCACTATGATGCGCATAAAGTTCAAACAACTATAGCGGAAATACAGTAGCCAATGTTGTAGATGATCTGTCTAATTTCGTCACATGTAGACTTCGATATGTACCCTCATAGCGATTTCGCCAACTGCAAATATTTCTGTAGGTTTTGTAGGAGATTGAGATTTTTCTTGTGATTTCTGTACCGCTTTCACTACTTGAGAAACGATCAATAGTAAAATGCAAGTTCTCCTGATATTTTATCAGTCTTGGGTGTATTTGTGTGTTCTTCTGATATTCTCGTTTGTATTCCGTGTGGAGGAGGTGGGCGATTTTGATGCTCGTGAAGCAAGCTTTATAAGTTGATGTGGGTTCCGTGACATTTTTCTTCAATAATTTTTGACATTCTTAACTTGACCTGCTGTGATGATTCTTGAAGCAGATAGTTTGTATTCGTTTGTATTCATTCTATTATTCTACGCTCTCTGCGGCTTCTTATTAATACTATTTCCAATCAACGCAAAGTGGTCGGAGTGTAATAGTGTGGTATTGCATATCGACCGACTCAATCAAGCAATCGAAAGTGTAATTGAGGTCAATTTTCTGAATACTATTAATGATGTAATTACGTACATAAGAATGCGACCTCTATAGATGCTGTTGTCGGTCTCTAACTCCCTCGAGATTGATAGCTCTTTCCATTTATTGCAATCCTCTTTCGCGCTTGCTTCAAAAGTGTTGCTCTTCACGATGAAATCATCTTGTCAAATGCTCTTCCTCAATCTCAAATCTTCATGCATTACACATAGTTATACGATACCAATTTATTCTCTTAACCAATTATGGATTGTCCTTTTAGTGATAGATGGTTCGAGGACGCGTGCCGAAGAGAAGAGTTACTCAGGCTCCACCAACTTCGAAAGCAAAACAGTGACGTTGATGACACATTCTTTCCATACGGATTGATTTTCGCAGGCCTACCCCCTTCGGCGGTGCATTCTATAGTATATAAACAATATACTGTAGGCTCAGACGTGGAACGAACAGTCACATACGTATCTGCTGCTCTTGACTTTATAGATAGGACGACCCGTAAACTGCAAACCGACGCATGGCTCTTTCATGTGGAAAAAGATTTGAAGCAAGTATCCTGGAGTCATAAAGCATTTGTTGCCTACGAATACAATCATCGAATGGCAGAGCAGAGAATCGGCAAAATCCTTATGCTTGCAAAACTTGAGCAGTCAAAGGTAGACGCCGACAGTATCCCTTGGAGATATACGTGTCCGGACGGCACGAAGTTATCTGGGCAGCTCAGATCTCTTCCGCATGGCTATGAACAACATATCGATCTTCTTTTGAAATACAATTTTCTCATTGTTCAAAATTATCCGGATGGTTCGTATTCGGATATCAGCGCATCTGGTGTAAAGAACTTTATACACGCGGTGGCCAATGCATCTATTGGTTCGCCTATAAATCACATTGCAAATCCACCAAAGTTTTTTTATTCTCTGCCAGAGATGCAATATGAATCTCTTTCCCAGAAGCGAGCGGTAATTTTAGCGCCAGAAAAAATCTTGAGTGGGAACTTGTCTGCTCAACGAACTGAAATCACACAGGAGGAGTTCACACATTGTGCTATCAAATTGCCTCCGTCTCAGCCAATTGGCGGCGATCCGAAAATCAAAGAGAAGCCCCCATATTTCGCAATTCAAGTATCTTCGTCTGCGGGATTTGGTAGGGTATTGGATTTTATGAAGAATTAGTTGGTTCTCATGATGGGTTTTGTGAGTTTGCTTGCTATTCATACCTATTTCTAGAAATTTTTATATATCGATGGTTGGATTTAACAATTTGGGCTTAGAGTTTCGGGATAGTGGAACTTTGCTGATTTCATCTTGGGATGCAAAATTGGGTCCAGTCCGATGGAGAAATCCCACAAGCGATGGTGTGGCAGGTGTATTTGTGATAATTGGGTGGTTGGAATTGGAATAGAAATAGAAATAGGCATGGATAAAATTGCATGGAGGATGGACTATGTAAGTAATTAGCTCTTGAGAATTGTGGTCAAATGCTATTGAGCATGACTAGCGTGTCATTTTTAGTTACTCTGAAAAAAGAAACATGTGGATTAGTGGTATAATGAGAAAAGTGTCTCTTCTGCGCTCTTGCGTAGTCAATTTGAGAGATTTTTTCAAGTGTCATTTAATTGATTGCCGAATTGTAAGATCTTACAGAAATGTTATTACCTGTCTACATGATGCAAACATTCAAATCACTCTCCGCATTTTCACTTCCATATGTACATACATCACTTACGCACATCAAGAGATATTCAAGATCATGAAAACGGTTATTTATTGCTATATTAATATATCACCGACTTCCTAAGTTTCCCTCTTTCCAAAGACATGGTCTGCCAGCGACTTTTCTGTTTATTACTCCATTCATCGCTCATGACCTTACAGTGTAAGGGGATCTCATAGCGATCATAGAATCTCGGTCGTTAGAAGGAAAGAGGAGAAAAGAAATCAAAAGAAGAGAAAATCATCTCCTTGTGCTGTGCCTCCCTGCGGCCTTGTAGATCACTACCAGTTTTTATTTGTAAACTCCTAGATTTTTGAATAGCTTTCACTCCCACGTAGTATTCCTATCTCCATCCGTCCATGTTTTTATCAATTTATCTATACCCGTGACCCCCTCGCCAGATCTGCAAGAGAGTATGAAATAAAATCACCTCCCTTTCCACCCCCCTATCCATTCATAGACCACGCAACATCATACCAGAAATGCTAGGTCTAAAGCATCTCCCATTCCTCAACGTCTTCGCTTTCTTCAACACTCTCAATCTCTTCAGGTCCACTAGCCTCCGTAACATCATCATGATCATCATCACTAGCCATGACCCAAGATGCATCAGATTGAAAATCGCTATCATCTTCAAGATCGACTTCCTGCGTAGGGCTAGATACGGGTACTGTAGTAGAAGGGGGTGACAAGGGGAAATCTAATACGAGTGACTTTTGCATCATGTCTTTGGTAACGATCTCAGATCTTTCAGTGTCAGAAATGAAAAGTTCATTGAGAGAGAGATTTGCGATGCTGTTCATCTCAGCATTGCCAGTAGTTTCACTGATGGGATTGACCTCGTTGTTGACTGCTTGCTGAGCGGTAGTGGGATCATCACTCTTGCTGGCTTCGACAACGGCTCTATCAGCGATAGTCATTGGTTGATTGACAGTGGCAACATCGAGATCGGCGAGGTTCTTGGTGATGCCGATGACATCAGTGTCCATCTTTTCAGCCATGACAGTATGCTTATTGATGGTAGTGGCAAGGGTATCAGCAGCTTTGCTTGCCTCTGTAAGCATGTCATTTCCGTTTTTGAGCACAGCGACATTCTTTTCTACAAGCTCCGCATCATACTGACCTTGTCCATTAACAGATAAAAGATCAAGCGCAGATTTTGCCGAAGCCGAAGAATCAGCTGTGTTTATAGAATTATCTGGTCTCGAATAACCCCACTTCTTCAGATGCTGAAACGTAGCATGATCAAATTTCTTAGGCTGTTGACCAGCTAAATGACGTCCTCTAGCTGCTCGACCCTGGATCATAGCTTGCATGATTTCGGAATGGTCTGGCTTAGGCTTCCATTCTTTGAACATGGTCATATACTCAGCGCGATCTGTGCTCTTGACCGAGTAAAAGTTTCGAGAACCTGGGTTGGAGTACTGGCCTGTGACTGCTGGTAGCTTTGAAGGAATATTGGCCTTTAATGTTCTTGGATCATGATGTGCGGGAACTTTAACTGAACGGGGAATTGAAGGTTGGAATGCTGATTGATCGTAACCATCTCTAAGGCCTCGAGCATGTTCCTCGACAGTGATATGATCATTGGACGAAATAGAGTTGTTTCGCTGTTTCTGATCATGCATTGGTTGTTTGAGAAAACCATAGTGACCATCAGTCCAGGCGTCATCTATCGTACGAAGTGGCTGAAGATCGGATTTGGCACTTCGTGCGGTATAGTAAGCTTTGAGACGTGCAAGAGTGACACGAACCGAGTCGTGGTCTGCTGCAAACGTAGCGGAAACCGAATTAGTAATATGATCGCCGCAAGCACGAGTTAGAAGTTCCATTCTCTTCTCAAAAGCTTCCCTATTTTTGTATTTCTGTTGACTAGAGTGCTTGATTGCACTAAAGGTACCACTTCTTCGGTTGTATTCCATCTGGCACTCGAGAAATTTCTTATCTGCGTCGGAACTCTCTTTTTTGAATCTCGGATTATCCATTCTGTGAATGTTTTCCATCCAAAGAGCTTTTCTCTCGGCAACTGCTGTTTCTAATTTCGTACAGGCAGCATATTTGGCCGTTCTTGCGGCAAGATAAACGCAGTAAGCATCGGCAATAGAAGCTTGAAATTCTTCCGCGTCTGGGGAAGTCAAGTCTCTGTAGTCCTTGAACTCTCTGCGATCTAAGCATGTCGCATCGTTGCGTCTTGCATGAAGCTCCTTATTTTGGCGGATTTCATTGAGCCTATCCTGCTCATAGTTACGTCGTGACAGTCGCGTCTCGCGGAGGGTCTCAAGATAAGCTTTGCGTTCCAAATACCACTTTCTTTCGGAAGCTCTTGAAGCTTCTTGGGAAATCGCATCGCCACCGTTGAGATCAATATTTTTGCCATGAATAAGTGGAGCTATTTCTTCTTGACAATTCTGATCGATAATCTTAAGAGCATCGAGCTTCTCTTGAAAGATAACTAGAAACGAAAAATCATGACTAGCAGCATTGGCTATGCTATCTTGTGTAAGTGAAACTCCCGCCCTATCACATTCGAATTTTTTCTCCTCTTCTAATTCGTCTCTTCCTTTAAGAAAGAACTTTGATGCCTGCGCCTTTTTCCAAGCTTCAATCATCATGCCTTGACCTTCAGGGCTTAAGGGTGTCGATGCTACTAAAGGGGCGTGAGGATATTGGAATGGCTCAAATCCCAGGGCTAAGGAGCTTGAAGACATTTGCTCTTTGACAAAAGATGTCGATCTCATTTTCATTTCCTGTGGAATGGACGCGGTTGACCGACGATCACTTTCAAAAGGCTTGTAACTATTGATTGGAACCACGGGCAACCGAGCGTCGTGAGTTAAACGCCTTGATACAAGTGGAAGGAGGCTTCTAGCCGGTGCATGAGTCAATGGATGGCAGACCTGTCCATTGAGGATACAATAATCATATAACCACTTTGGTGCCCCAGCCAATACAGGAAAAGGGATTGGAATAGACATCTGCTCAAGACTCTTGGTCATTTGGCCAAGCAAATTTTCATCCGAAAATCCGAGATGATTGAAGTACTTAAACATAGTGGGTAAGTTGACGCGTTGATATAGTTGTCCATTTACAGATACTGGATGATTCCAACAAGGCAAAGGATTTTTAATGGCCATTTCCAACAAGGTGAGTTTTTCGACAGGGAAGTTTTCAGTGACCAGTTGTTTTCCGTCATCAGTCTCCAACTTCGAAATGCTTGGATCCTTCTCCAAAATTCTCTTATCTGCTGGAAAATTGTTTTCTGTATCGAATTCAGAAACTTTATCGGTTTTTACGCCAGAAACTTGACCCGTGCGAAGAACCCGAGACTGATATGCATTGGACTGAGGCTGGCGCCACCAGAGAGTGTCGAGCTTGGGTTGTGGGACATTTTCGATCTTCCAGGTTGGACCTCTAATATTGTTATTGGGGTATAGGCTTCCATCAATTATCTCTTCATTTTCGACACGCATTTGCGGTGTTGTGCCGTTATTTCCACAATTGATGATATTATTGGAATTGACCGCGACTGCCGAGTGTGCGTTGATCTGCATATGCTCACCAGAAAGCAAATCTGAGCTGCAATCCTCACCATTGAATGTAGCTTGTTTTTCATGAAGTTTTTGTGAAGTTTTGGGTGCGAAATCAGAGCAGCAATGCTTCATCGGCTGTTGTGTGACTCGGACCGTAAAGTCCTTCCGTGAAGGATATTCTTTGCGATAATTAGAGATATCTGGTTGAGTGCATTGAATGGATCTGACGTTCTCGGAGGCTCCTCGCACCGTCTCACACTCTCGGATACCAAAAAGGTCGTACTTATTATGGTTACGCTGGCTTGCCATCACCATATTGCATTTCTGATGTGATAGAGTGTCGAAAGTTTGTGCCAACCTTGGAATAATCTTCAAGTCTACCATGGTCGTCGAATAACCAATATTTTGCAACACCTCGATAACAAATAATATATGAGCTGTAAATTTGTCGATTTGAAGTCGTAAGCTGCTGGAATCTAACTCTTTATGCTGAGCACGATATATAATGGCTTTGTCGAAAGCAGCCTTTTGCTCACTGTCCATACCTTTCCAAACTTCTCCGGCATGAAGAGCTTCAGTCGCTCTCGACCATGCACTCTGAAGAAAAATCATATCTGAGTGTTCTTGCTCATATTGTGGGACCTGCTGTTCAGGTTGATTGAGTGAAGTAGTGTTGACATCGAGAAGTTCTTTGTTCAATGTAACGGAGTAATAACCACCAGTTGAAATGACGGGATGGTATTTCTGGACGTCCCGAAGAATCTTTTGCCGGTGATCAAGGATGGCAGAGCTGGATGTATCATTGGAAGCTTCTGGCTTCATGTAAATGTGATACCCACTTTCAAGGTCGATCTTGCTTGGAAGATGGGCAATGCAGGCTTTCTTGTAGTTGTTAGAGTCTTGTGGTATTTTCCCTGGAGCGAGCATTAACGAGGCCCTGGCTTGCTCTTGAACCTTTTCTTCCTGGAAGTTTGAGGACGAATCAAGATTGTGAAGTTTGTTGACATTGATGAAAGGTTGTGGAAGGCCAAGCATCTTTTCGAGGGGTTTCTCGGATGATAGAGAAGGGGTACGAGGGCGCTCAATGATCTCAAGAGCTTGTTGGTTGACTTGCATCATGTTGGAAGTGGCTAAACGAGATCTGTAGGTCTTCACGAGGGTAACATATTCCTTATGAAGGTCAGAGACCTGTGATGTCAGTGAATCAATCTTTTGGGGGTCTTTGTCTTGAAGGTTGTTGCTTCGAGTTAAGGTAGGATAGGATATTGACTGAGGATGATGTTTTTGAAGCATCTCAGTACTTTCTTGTGAAGACATGAAGTCTTTGAAAGGTACTTTCTTGAAAGTTTCCTCCATTTCGTTGAAAGGAGGTGTCTGACCTGCCATGGTTTTTGTGCTTTGTTTCGGTGTATCTTTGTGAAGTAATTCGTCTTTGAAAGTGTTCTGCAGTTGCCAGAGGAGAAATGTTGGTTGCGGATACAAAGAGGATGTAGGATTCAAGGTAAGGTTGATGAGTTTATGTAGACAAATTCTTCGCTGGTACGGTCGAACGTCTGAGATCACGGGACTATGCTTTGATGAGTGAATGCGCTGCCGTGGCAACACTTAATATGAATACGGCATCCTAGAGATGAGTTTATACCAGTGAAGTTGAAGCTTTTGTCGGGTCAAATCGAGTTTCAATTTGAACAATCAATATAACAATTCACTTTCGGCTGATTCCAAAGTCGGTTATCCGAAGTTTTTATATTCAAAGTGCCTCGATCTCTTCTTACTCCATCCCACCAAAAAGAAACTCCATACAAACCTTATCTTTCATTGAGTCAGCAGCCATGGATCAAGTATTCAAGACGTGTTCTGAAGATCCCATTCCGCTTGAATTGAATACAAGTATCGAAAACGGTGAGGCTGTGATCCAACAAATCATTGGTCAAATCGTACATCACCCAAAATCCACCCAGAAATCAATCAAAGATATCACTTTCATACATGAAAGATTCAAGTCCCTTCTACTCACATCACCTGCTCCTTCACTGATCTTTCGATATGGTCCAAGTGGTGCAGCTGTCACATTTCATTCCTTGAAATGCGCACAAATCGACTCTGAAGGAGAGATAATGATATCTCATCTATGGAAATGCACCTCTGGCTTTCTTCAGGTAGAAGATTCCTTTACTTTCGAAAAGCTTGAAGAGCTTAGATTCATCAAGACCAACGAAGGAGCCCCACTGAACCGTCGGCGCATAACTTTCTTGGGGAGTGATAAGAAAGAACTGTTTGTTGAGAATTTGAAGTGCGACATCACTGTAACGCATGATTGTCTTGTCATGTTCACAACTCACGATGGATTCGCCAAAAACTTGGTCTCATGCTTCTACATCGATGGCAGGGGTCTCACAAAATTGGAAACAGCTATGTCCGTTCCATTGCAATCTGATGAGGAAAACATATCTGCCGAAGTCGTTCAGCCAAATGACTCGGATATGGAGCAAGATTCTGCGTGAGTTCAGTTCCGATTCGCATTCTTTCCTCTTGATAACTTTTAAAAGACAGAAGCTTACTATATCAACACAGTATTTTTGACTCAGCTTCACAATCGACAATCGCAAATTTCATATACACTCCAGCCGGAACATCAGCAATTGATGAAGATCGAGGTTTTGAGGCTGCCCTCTCTACCGATGAGCGTGAAGCTTCCCTCAAGCAGCGCGAGCAGGAAACGGACAACCGTGAACGCGAAATTGCAGAGCAGGAAAGAAATATTGTACTGAAAGACCCTCAGAGCTCGGAGAAGATAGATATTGCGCACCTTGAAGCGCGCTTATCGGATATATTCAAGGTATTCGAAGAAAAACTCACTTCAAAGACTGTCAATGACGGCAAAGAAGACTTTGAAGTTATGGGGACCAAGTTAGCAGGCTACGACAGGGCTCTCAGAAACCGCCACACAGATGTCACCGCCAGAGAAATTGCTCTTGCTCGCTTTCAACTGGCTATGGAGAAGCGAGAAGGGGCCTTGACTGAGCGACAAGAATCGGCTAAAAAGCTCGAGGCCCAGGTTCAGAAACGAGAAAACCTCGCGTGTTCACGCGCTCAGGAGCTGGAGACACTCAGCCGCAGCTTGCGCAGGCGTGACGAACTTCTCAATGAACGTGAGACTGGGCTTGCAGCTCGGGATGAAGCAAACATTCGACTCCGCGAGCAGCTGGATGCAGATAGGGAGACTTTGGATGCCAGAGAGGCAGCCATGGAGCAGGGACTTCGAGATGACTACGAACGTTATGATAATTATCTGTACGACTGTTATCCATATTCCAGGTAAGTCCACAAGATTCCAGATAGCTCTTATTAATTTCATTTTTGGGAGATCTACAGCTGACCATCGATACTCACATTCTAGCTACGAGGATCAGTATGAGGATGAGGAAGGAGAAGAAGCAGAGGATTTTGATGATCATTATTATTTTTGATCTGCACTTTACTGCCAGCGATGCGAGCGCACAAAAATCTTCCAGTAATGATACAACTATCATAACAGCTTAGTATATGCTTACTGCTTTGCATAGGAGGCATGTTGTCACAGGATAGTTTATTATTCATCTGGGAACGGCGAGATAGGATGTGTCTTTATACTCCAGTTTTCAATCAATGCATCAGAAGTTTTCTCATTATATGTCGATCAAGTAGTGATTTCATAAACTCAAGGGATACTTTGTTCCACTCGTTTACCGATAAAATACCCGTTTCAATACTTGACCACCAGCTTTGCAATGGAGACTTATGAAACACTCGCAGAAATCCATGTCCTAAAATTGATAGACCGAAAAACCAACATCCTAAGATATACACTCATAGCCACTGCGATAAACACTCAAACAACATCTCCATCATCCTCAAGCCATTTCTTTCCCATAACCTATCACCGACAAAGTATCAGTTGAAACATCCGCCCATGATCTCTTCCGTATCTATCACACATTTATATAGTCGCAATACTCACTTCAGAAAAAAAACAGAACAGAAGTAAGAAACATTAACAGCGAATGTTGAGAAAGATTCGCTCACAGAGGTTCACCTGGATGGATGTCGACTCACGTGCCATCGCTTGCGTTGTTCACATCTCACTAGCGTCCCCAGAGGCTTCAGGTTTAGGTAGGTCGCGAAATATTTTCATACTTTTACATCTTCATCACTTGGAACCTGTCGACTGAATCAAGATCTTCAGAGAAGAAATCATGGCAGAGCGCAAGCTTATAGTCTATGATGGTCAACCTGAAGATTTTCAAATGGCTGTCGCTAAAGTACTCGATCTGATCAAAAGCCGTTATGAAAAACATGAAAGTCTTCTACAAAATTGCAAACGCCTGGCTATATACTCGCCTGTACTAGCATTAGAGTCAAGCTTTGGCTACAAACCGAAAGACATAACTTTCGTGCAACTTTTCAATCTCACGCTCGAGAAGAAAGAGGAACAGCTTACCTATGATCATCTCTGGAAGGTATCTGATGGATATGCTCTTGTGCATGATTATATCGCGCTCATTGTCAAGCCTGGAAGAGAGCTTGCTAATTACCGGACCATCAATTTGTTGGATGATGGCCTACATAATTCCGGTAAACGTTGTCTGCAATATAAGTTGACCTCGAATGTGGCAATTTGCAATCAGGAATTATCACCACCCAAAAAGTTAGTCCACCAAGTTTGTTATCAAGATTTTTGATGCCATGATATGTCAAGAGAGTTGAACTGACTAGAAGCAGTAACCAAGTAGAAATTGACACATTTTCTGATTCTTCGTTGTCCTCTTCGTTGCCCAATACCCTCGACTTTGAAATTGGCAATGAAAAAATCCCAGTTGATAATTGCAAGCTATCTTCAGATTGGTTAATTGATTTCGACAATCCGCCTCTTCATATACCTGCTCTAGAAGCTAAAAAACGTAGTGGTAAAGCCGCAGCAGATTCGACTACTATGAAATGGAAATCTGCCAGAGTCATCGAAAGCAGAGAGGAAGCTATTCAAACTCGCGAAGCTAACCTCGATAAAATCGAACGAGATATCACCGCACGTGTCGTAGAACTAGAAGCTCGAGAGTCCGCCATCGATTTCCATGAGCAAGAATTCAATACACGCCTTTCAGCAGTTATGACGAGGGAGAATGAGGCGGAGATTCGTGAACGTGAATTACTCCCTAGCTGGACCCAATATAGCAAACTCTACTCGGAAACACAAAAATTCAAAATCGACCTCAAGGATAGAGAATTTGACCTGAATCAGCGAGAATTTAGCGTTGAACAGGGGGAAGCTGCTAATGCAGAACTCGAGGAAATTACAAGAGCAAAAATCACTGCAGAACTGAAGTGTCGAATTATGGATGCCGAATCAATTGAAGAGTCCATTGTAATTCGCAATGTAGCACTGAAAGAATGCGAAGAAAGACTCAATGAGCGTGAACAACTTGCTGTGGTTGACAGGAAGGCATTGGAAGTGGAGTATGCAAGAGTCGCGAGTCGTATGGATGAGATCAAGATACATACAGATATTGTCAAGGTTGCTGAAACTTCGTTTAGATCTCGCGAAGAAGCTCACAAGAAGATTAGAGACGAGTTCAAAGCTAGAGAATCTCTGATCGGAGAAAGAGAAGCTGCTTTACAACTCAAGGAAGATGATGCTATGGAAAATTATTTTGCATTTTTCAAAAACCCCACAGGTCCCCTTTACACGGCTCTAGGGCTTGTCGAACAAAAGCAAGAAAAGCACAATTCGGAAATGGTGGCCCGCGAATTAGCAGTTCTGGAGCGTGAGCAAAAAGTTGCAGCTTCAGAGGCAGCTTTAAAGTTGGAGCGAGAGATGATTCGGATTCGACTCAGAGAAAACGAGGAGATGAAGCAGCTTGCAGATGCAACAGAGCTTGCAGACATGAAGAACGGTAAAATTGAAGGCCAGGTCGAGACAAAGAACCAAGAAATTGCAGAGGGTGTTGCGGAAAAGAAAAGGTCACCGAAGGCAAAGAAGTAGCAGTAAGTAGAATCCCTGATGTCCCTCCCTACGAGCTCTACTAACAACCCCCCCCATCAGCAGATCTCTTTTCACCCTCTCAAAAACCCCCTCTCCCGCTCCAGGATTCCGCACCTGCAAATCCACATCTTCTCACCTAACTCTATCCCCAGCTCATCACAACTGGAAATTTATACACATACCCAACCATGTACAACCCACTGAACACCCACTCTTCGCTAAACTTTCACTCCTCACGTGCACTCGCACCTTTACACCCGTTCCTCCAATTTTCTTTGTACGATAAAATTCACTTCCCTATCCACGGAGAGTCATACCCATCTGTACACAGAAATCAAAATCAGAATAGAGATAATAGTACCAGAAAATAGAACTTCTCAAAATACAACAACTTTTCATCACACACTCCTGCAATAAACAACATCCATATTCGAATGCAATATAAAACCTCTTAATCCCCCCAAAATACCTTCCTTCATTTATCACAAAATCCATCCCATCCCCAATCCCATCCCCATCTCCAGCCCCCATACGATTAACATTTCATATCTCACACCCCTTCATATACACATATACAATCCCCATATACAATCCCAAATTTTCCTCCTCCGGCTCCCCTCCTCCTCAAAAAGAATAGAAAACAAAGTCCCCTAAATCCACACCCACCCACTCACAACCCCCCTCATCATACCCACAAACCTCCCTAAACCCTGCATATAATCCCTATAATTCAATTTACCTATTCTCTCCTATTCCCTCCTCTTCCCTCCCCTCCCTCCCCTCCCTCCCCAAAGAAAGGTAGCATAAAAAAAAATGAAATAAAAAGAATACGCTCAATTCCCACTCTGCTCTCTCTCTCTCTCTCTCAAAAAAAAGGACCCCTACTCTAAAATCCACTCACCCAGTCACTCACCGACTCACAATTATACATTCTCTCGATATTGGAATAATACCGATACAACTATACTCATTAATCTCAATCCATTAATCTCAATCCATCCACACCCAAGCCCACATCTCGTCTTCACACTTTCACACTTTCAAATTTAACAGTTTATATTTCATATAGCTCTCTTCACTTCATTTCATTTATTATAATCATCCATCATCCATCCACTCCCCTCCACTCCCCTCCAAACCCAAACTTTCCCCTCTTTCAAATAAATCACTCCCTCTCCCTCTAACTCTATTCCAATCCCACCCCTAAGTCCCAATACACACACTCACCTACCTCAACTAATCCCTATATTTCCCTCAGTCATCTTATTACCACCTACCTTTAAATCAATCTCTATCTTACTCTACTTCACTTTACTTTACACCACCTCTCACTTACCACCTCTCACATCTTCAATCCCACCAACACTCATCCACAAAACATTAACAATTGATTACACGATCAATAAATCAAATCAAATCAAATCAAATAAATAAATCAATAAACCCATTCATTTATCTAGAAACATACATATATTCATATAATCCCCCATCGCTCTTCCATTCACCAATCCTTTCATTCCATTCCATTTCGTTCCAAACCATACTGATATAGTTTAGTGTATAAAAAAGAAAGGAAAGAAGAAAAATAGTCCTGAGCGAAACACTCCTTATGCACCCGTCCCTCCAGAAATAATGTCCTAATAACGCCTGAGTGAGATGTATATGACATTTCCCCTTATCCTCCGCCATCTTTCTCTCTTTCTCGATACCCCTCTACAACACTTTCTTCCCTCCTAAATAGTCTCCCACCCTCCATTATTGATGTCCATTTCCAGCTTTCGACTAATCACACTTGGGACTCCATGACCTAGCCAGACCGTCCTAAGTAATGCGTCGTATCTCTTTTGATTCAAGAACAATTGGCGACTATGTCTTAGTCCCGGATCAACTTCTCCGTACTTATCGATATATGGAGCTACCATCCATGAACCACTAGTCCGGTAAAGGTAGAAGATGCAGCATTTACGGATATTTAGGAAGAGAGCTGTATTCTTCTGACATCTGGAGTGAAAGGTTAGTTACAATTTACAATGGAAATAAATGAGGGGAAGAGGAAAGTAAGGAAATTGCAAGGAGAAAGGGGAAAAAAGGAACATACTTAAGCATATGCTGTTGTCCACCACCGATTTTATCTCTTGGTCCTCCACCAGGTTTCTCCGGTCCATCCCTTGAACAGCAAATACTTTGACCACAGAAGATTTCTCCGCAGAAAAGACACAGCATTGGATCTTGAATATCTCTCTTACTATTAGGACAACGTCTCTTCATTGTTTCCTCCATCAGCGTGTCGTAATTTTTAGGCAGACCGATGAGCTCAAAGATTGTAGGATGACTAGGACATAATGAGTTGTTGATACCATGGACACGAGCTCTCTTCTCTACAGCCTCTATGTTGCGTTCAAAGGCCTGTGTGTAGAAATCCTTGAACACATCTGGTAAATTAGGAGCGGCTACATCCATCATGTTTATATCATTTTCCATTGTGGTTCTTGTAACCTCGGTAGCAGCTAAAACCAGCTCATCATTCAATGAGTTCGCATGTCGAATCCAGCGAGTAACTAAAGATGGAACGGTTCCTTCTTCCTCAGCAAAGCTGGAGAAAATCTCACCGAAAGTCGGCAAAAGGAGTGCTTCAGTAAGGCGATCGAGCTCGTTTATGTCTGAATTGGATGACGTGTAATTTTGGAAGATGATGCCATAACGAACATTCAAAAGTATCATGACCTTTCTCAGATATACAAGTGCATATTTCTCCACGAATGCGCGACAATCTCTTAGGGTTTCAAAAATGCCAAAACTTCCAGAATCATTAGTGTGTAGAGCGATGTCATCAAATATTAGAACGTGAAAACAAAAGTCTCCGAAGTTATCGACTCCTTCCTGTTGATACGTTTGAATCATATCGAACCATTTAGACTTATCGATGTGTCTTTGTAATTGGAGAACCACCTTGGTCATCTCTGCAATATAGCAAAGACGTACAAGATGAATGATATCGATATCCTCGACAGGCGCAAGACACAAGGAAGCTTTGGCCAGGAAGACAAATGTATCTTGAGAAAGCAAGGAGTCGGGACGTGTTGGAAGGTCGCTAGGTGTGGAATAAGCGTTCTTTCCGAACAATTGTGAATATTGTAATTCGTAATCTTTACTATATTCTCTGGCAACTCGATTGTCTCCTGCAAGCTTGAGCCCCCCAACCGTAACGTAGGAGAGAGCAGTCTCAGACAATATCCTAAGGTGAACAAGAGCTTGTTGTGGAATACTTTCTAGGAATGTCTGCCCTGGTGGCGTTGCAACACCACGCTGCTGAATCTCAACGGCAGATATAGAGAATCCTAGAGCCTTGGCTAGTACGTCGCTGGAACAGAAGTCTCTCTCTTCATGTTGTGCGAGGCTTTCCTTGTGGCTACTTTCCAATTTATTTTTGGTCATGGTGTCTCTTAGCCTTCGATATATGTCGGTCAATTCCCGTACAGAAGAGGGTGCGTTCGACGATCTATCGTTTGGGAGAGGAAATGAATTTTCAGACCAAATAGCACTTGCGATATCTGCTGGAATAGCAGCCCGTGTATTGGTTGGTGTGAATGGCGACCAATGACTTGGTGATGGTGGATCCCAGGCATCCATTAATAGTTCTGGCATCTTGGCTACCAAAGGACTGGCCATGGTATCATCATTATGCTTCTTGAAAAATTGTTGGGTTCTTCTGCTAGCGGGAAAGTCGGATTTATTATCATAATTATGAGCGCTACCGATTTGGTTGATTTTCTCCGTCCTAGGTTGCTGATAGGCACCAGCAAACTTTTCGATAAAATCATCAAAAGTTACTGTTGGTTTGAGGGCTTGATCTTGTATCTCTTCCTTTGGAGACCAAATTATGGGCAAGAATGAATTTCCTAAGGCTTTGCATAGTGGACAAACAAATTCATTCAACTCGAGCTTCTCAGGATGATGTCGAGCAATTTGATGTTGATGTCGTCTGTTTGAAGCTTCATAGTAGACTTCAAAACACTTGTAATGCATGATATGTCCACATCCGACAGACACCGGACCAGGTCTTGTGAACTTTGAAGGAAATCCTTTTCCGATGAATGAACGTTCCGTGACAATATCTACCCCACTAGAAGTAACTTTGTGAACTTGCTCCTTATTCTCACCCGAAACGCCAAATGGCCGAATATCTTCTGCGGACTTATCCAAATTCGAAGGGACATTCGCAGCTTCTCGAACAAAGTCTGCGTCGGACATATCAGTTTGCCGCAAGACCGAACTGGTAGTCATCAATGCAAAAGTTCCGTAAAGACGACCATCCTTAGTTTCTTCCTGACAAAGAATACATGTTCCCGAGGGATATTGATAATAATTCTTCGAACTCTCGCCTTCGGATTCCATATCTGAATCACTGATATCATCTTCGCCCCAATCAATATCTCCTTGGTTGTCGAGGAAGTTCTTTTGCTGTTGTTGAAACTGGGCCATGACCCTCTTTTGACGTTCTAATGCAGCTTGCTTCTTCTTCTCCTTATCTTCGAGTGCATTGTTGTTTGCAGGCGAAGCTGTAGAAATTCTATCAATTGGAACACCTAATCGCGAAAAGGCAGTCTCGAAATTTCTAGGTCGCTTTTGCTTCATTCTCTTCAGCACTAGAGTAATCTTTGGGTGGCAAGTTTTGAATTCCTCTTTTCGCGACAACATTTCCAGAATGGCAACGATTGTCTTCGAGGCCGGGGAACTAGGTGAGAAATTGCTTCGTGCATTACTGGTAAGCGCAATGTAGACGAACGACTCAAGAGACTCTTCTGACATCTCGTCCTCGTCTGTCCTATCCTCCGATACCGCAATAAGAACTAGATGTAGGACTACGTGCAAAAATGCCTCCACACGTGTTACAGGTACAGTAGGTGTAAGCTTATCCGCCATCAAAGGATAAAGAAGGGCATAGTAGATGATTTGAGCAAAAATGCCTGTTCGAGTGAAAGCCGCGAGATCTGAGAATGCACCAGACTCAATGGAGCGTAGTTTAGGCTCAAAGACAATTTCGGCAGGTGGTCTTCCTGTCTTCTTTGCTACCCAAGCTTTGTAAGTATTCTCCGATTCCTCTCTTTGATTTTTGCTGTAATGAGCGATGTAAGGATCGATATCTTCCAAATACTGTTCCTTAAGCTCAAAGGTTCCAACATCATTGAGTCCCTCGGGAGGTTTGAAATTTGTCATCTCATCAAGGATATCTTGACACTCTTCCTGGTCTTGAAATTTATCGGGTAGCTTCCCACAAATCTCTGTGAATGATAGGGGTTTGAAGCAAAGCACATGGGCGATATCTCGACGCATGGCCATTATATGAGAACCAGGGTCATCATCATTCGAAACTAAGGACGTCCTGTCGCTGATCAAGACAATGAGAAGATGGATTAAATCCTCTGCGATATCAAGAATCTGGCCATCATCAACTCCATCTGACTTTACTTCATATAGACCTTTCATCCATTGCTCAAGACCAAATCGATCAATGATTGAAACGAGCATACGAGCAGGTGAACATACAACCATGGCGGTTTGAAGAAGGAAGATATCTCTGTGGTGGGATACATCACGTAGAGTGACTCCACGGTATGTACCTTGTTGGTGACGAAGACTCATACCGTTTCGAACCCACATGTTAGCTTTCATTTGCGCCAACCACGCACATACTCGCAGAGGATAATCAAACGCTGCCATTAAATGATCTTCTGGGGAGTATTCTTGACTTGGCATAGTTCTTTGTCCCATGGGCTTAGGTTTTTGAAGAAGTTCTTGTGTAGTAAAGCTTAATAGTTGGATGAGCTGTTCCCGAGGCATACTCTTTCCACACTCAATGAGCCAAGATAGAGTGTAGTGGAGAGCATGATGAAAACTGATAGGTTGTGACTCTACCACGAACTTGACGACTGAATGCTGAACGACGCTGTTCGATTGTTCGGTTGTATCAAATTCGTAGTCACCCACTTTCTTGAATTTAATTTCGTCCTTGATCTCTGCCTGAGTAAATCGCTTTCTCTCAGTGCCCAGAGAGCTGAGAATAACTGCCTTTGCTGCAGTCCGAATTGCCCTGCAGACAGGCTCTGTCGATTCGCCAGGAACCCACTTGAAAGACTCCGAGAATTGTCTACACAGTCGATTGATCTCCCGTGTAATCAAAGATGCACTAATCCAAGCATCCGTTTCATATTCTACATGTTCACCAACAGCCCTGATGTTAGGACAAATACCTTGATGGAGTTTGACTAGGTCCAAAAACTGCAGCATGTATCTTTCTTCGGTACGTAGCTTTTCTTGCACGTGCTCTGAACCGAACAAATATTTCAAATCCATGAAAAAGTGGTACATTCTTCGATTTGTTACAGAGCCTGAGTCAAAAGCCAAAGTGGCATTTGGAAAGATTTCATAAGGATGTCCAACCTGTCGCGTGGTAAGGAAGGTGTAAAGAATTGCCATTAAATTGGTCAAGAAGTTTCCTCTCTCCACGATTTCCGCGGTAATAGATGGCGTTGTCAACATTTGTAGAGAAATGTTGATAATTGAGTGATCTGGTTCCCTGTCGGCAATCAAATAAAGTTGCGCGAGAGTCGTGTAAAGACCTGAAAAGCGTAGACCCAGCACACGTTTGAACTCTGGAATCGATACGACTGTCGAGATGTATAGTTCACGAAGATCAACTCGAACCTTTTTCCACATCCTCAAGTCGAACAAAATCAGCCAGTCTAATCGTAATTTGTGCCACAAATCCTCATGTAAAGGTACAGATTCCCTGTCCGTATAGCCAGGAGGACTTTCAAGCCAGTATCTAGCTGGCTTTGCGATTTCTTTCTTTACTGGATTCGCTGGAGTCTTGGGAATCTCCATCTTGGCTTTTGCATAAAGGTTGTCTGATATGAGAGGTTGCATTTCTGCAGTATCAGAATCTGATGGTGTGAGATCACGATCTCTGATGACTCTTTGAGGGGCAGGAGGAGGTGGTGGGGGTGGAGGTGGATATCCAGCCAAAGTAGCTTCTTGTACCTCTAACGCTTCATCGTCTCCACCGATCATATCGACATCTCCATCGTTATCGGTCTCCGTTCCAGTCTGAGTTTCCCGTTGAGGTGCTGGAACGGGTTGTCTGGTCGGCTGTATAATTCTTATCTCTGTTGGCTCTGCCGGATCAAAACGAACAAGTTCTACTTCTTCGTCACTGGAAGCGTCTTCGTCCGCATTTTCAAGCATTCGGACAATATTGGCTTCATTGAGGTCATCATCATCTCCATTATCAGTATCGTCGGAGTCTGAATCAGTGGCAGCGACGGCGGCCATTACTGCCATAGCCTGAGTTCGGCGGTCAGTTGTTATAATATGCCTCAGCACGCGATTTTCAGCATCTGACCACAACATTTCCTCTCTTTCGTGATCATCAATACCCTTCAATCCTATGTCTGCATTACTAGCTTCACTTCCACGATTCCATTCCTTGAGCATTTCTTCACAAACCACCTGACGTAATATGTTGTGGTCTGGACCGACACTACAGCCAGAAATGTCACTGAGCCATTCAATGATAGTTCCACACATCTGTTCCCTGAAGGTATCCCGAGCAGAACGGATGGTAACTGTGACCTTGATCTGTTCCACAACCCTTGAGACTCTCAAAAGCTTGTCAATGTCGTGATCATATTTGATGACGCTTCGACCAATATCATCAGTTTCATGCGCTCGCTGCATACCCTCCGCATTCGTTACCTTGCAAGCTCTTGCCACCTGGTCTCGAACTTCATTGACAGTGTGCTTCTCGTCGTTCCAAAGAAGAAGTGCATATTCACACGGATCCTCAACGATATCTCCATTATAGTAAGACGAAGTCAATCGCGACCTCTTCTCATCCTGTTGTATCGACTCCTTTGATTTGGGTAATCGCAGCTGTTCTGGCGAACATGATATAACATCGCAAATATAATCAAAAGCCCGTCCGATGGTCATTCGAATGCTTTCCACCAATTCATCAGGCAGACTTGCTGCTTTGCCTTTGTCTTCGCCTTCTACACCCGGTCCATGTGCTGTATGTATTGAGCAATGTACTGGTAGACGCCATGCTTCTGGATCTCCACAGTCGCAACATCCGCTGTTGCCCAAGGATACACTCACATATACCATATGGCCCGTATGATCGGAGGAATCGTAGCATCGACTACAGAGTACGCATGTGTCATCGGAACTGCAAGTTTTGCATCGATATGTAGCTTCTCCTGTCTTGAATATATGCCCGCAGACTTTCCCTCGAGCCGCCTCTGTGAATTCGTCGCCATCGGTCCCTCCTTGCGCTTTCCTCAACTTCCATACTTCGCTAGCTGATGGCCTCGAGTTTTCTGGAAAGAAAAGGTTCAAGTGTTCTTTTTGTCCGCCGGCCAATGACCAGAAGAGACTCTGTAATAAATCGCGCTCCGCTGCTTCTGTGTAGCGGTTCTGGTGGACGCGGGGCAATGTTTTCAGGAAGTCGCAGAGCTGCCTCGATGGCATAGATTCTTCCGCCATGCCTGTGTGGAACTGACAAGACGATGAAGTTCCTGTCTTCTGCTCAAATTGGTGGGCGTTGACTATATGATGGTGGTGGTATGCTTGTTCATTGATAAAGAATCGTTATCGGTATCGCAGTTTCCGCAAAGGAGGCGAGGTGAGTGCGTGTTGGTATAGATATAATCCTTCAAGTCCAGAGACTTTATGTGTGATGAGAGAATTACATGTAAAGGTGGGTATAAATTTGATTTATAATACACAATATGAATTGTAAGTATCTGGGTACTTGGATAAGTGACGTTGTAAAGGTTTTGATTTATTTGTGGAGGATGGATGAATTGCGGCGGGGGAGTGTTTCGTTTCATGAGCTTCCACAAAGACCAACCCTCACAACTCAACATCTAACGTCTGGGCTTAAAATCGTACAATTAGATCGTCCATATGGCTAGATCAAGGTATGATGTTTTTGTATTTGAACATAGATTCATGAAGTCTGTCGCTATTCAGATGCAGATGCCATATAAGAGTCTTCAATGTTCAAACATGACTTTGATGATGCATGAATGTCCAAATGGATATGAAGAACGAAATCATTCCTCGTAACACTCTATTGAATATAATACTTGTAATTCTTGCACATCATAAAGGTGTCTTATCCTTGTCACGAGCTTGAAGGAGAAGAGTACCAGAAGGCAATGACATCGTTGTACCAGTCAGTGATCTTGCTTTTATGCCCGTATGATTCTATGTTGTCGATTGTCTTTTGTACACTTTCCATGAAGGCTTCCTGCCCAATACTGACGCCCCGATTCTTTTTTTCTAACAGCCGCATATCCCCATCAAGGCGTGGTTCTTTCCTCTCACATCCATCTATACCAAAACCCCAACCCCTCTACTCGTCGTCGTCCGCAGCCTCAACATATCTCGCTCTGATATCCTTCCATTGACGCTTTCCCGGTGATCAGCACATTTCCTAACTTCTTCTCTAGCAATGCAACTTACTCCCTTGTTTATAGAGTCCCAAACTCGATCTGTGATTGAATCGTATGCCCTAACATACATCAGTTTAAGTCCTTTCCAGGCATTCCGAATGGATGTAAACATACATCTCGAATCCAAAAGCAGCACCAAATACTGCACCGAGGAACACATAGTTCTTTCGGAAAAGGAAGCTATATGCCAGTCTTCATTAGCCCTTCGATCTCCAGATCACCCTCGCCATAACAAATGTCGTGGTGGTGGGCGCATCGCATAGCATCGCATCAAAAGGGTAACTAACTTGTAAAGAGGACGGCTTGCGGAAGACTACAATTTCACCCATTAGCACAACTCCAAACACCTCGAGAATGCCCCGACGAGTAAACATACCATGGCGAATGAATCAGTTCTGATCGCAGATTGTAGACAGCTTATCGAGTGAAGTGATTCCGTAAATTGAAGTTGTAGGGCAATCGGACGAATTTTGGCTGAGCCGGTATAAAACAACGTGAAATTCCGATGGTCATATCAAAGAGCTTTTGATTGGTTGAAAGCTTTGGGTGGGACTGACTTATGATTGGGTAACAATTTTGGTATGACAGCCTCATAGCAATTCTACTCGTAGTAAAGTTTGATAAAGTTTAAAGCTTACTTTTACAATAACCAACGTCCTTCACCAATTTTTTGATCCAGCATTTTTCAAAATCCATATCTATATTATATTTATCTCTATCCGCATCATAGAGATTTCCTCCCTATCCTAAGGGCCTCGTCCCTCAAACTCAGAAAATGCCCTCGGTCCCCACCCCCTCCAAAGCCGGCATCGTCGAAACTCAAACGGGCGATCGTCACATCCCCTCCTCCACGCGCGCCGACGGTACAAAGCGCAAAGAAATAAAAATTCGTCCAGGTTACAAGCCCCCCGAGGATGTCGAAGTATACAAAAACCGCACAGCAGAAAACTTCAAGAATCGTGCTAGTAGAGGTCCACCTGGCGCTGAGAGTTTAAAAGACGAATCAACTACACCGGGGTCAGCAGCTAGCAACAAAAATGCAAAGAGGAGAGAGGCGAGGAAGAAGGCTGCTGAAAATGCAAAGGATGCGAATGGGGACCTGAAGGGAAGTCAAGCGGACAACTGGAGGGAAGGGAAGCAAAATGTGGATGGGGAAGAGGAAAAGAAAGAAGAGGTTGATCTGGAAGCGGAGAGGGAAAAGAAAGCTAGGAACTTGAAGAAAAAACTAAAGCAGGCCAAGGAATTGAAGGAAAAAAGTCAACAAGATGGTGCAAAACTGTTACCAGAGCAATTCGCCAAGGTTATCAAGATCAATGAGTTGATCAGGGAATTGGATCAGCTTGGGTTCGATGCCGATGGGGAGCCAAAAGCTAAGAACGATGCGAAGGATACCGCAATTACGGAAGAGGCATTGCCAACAGAGGACGCGAAGGAGTGATTTTGATTTTCTTGTTACAGCATCGAAACACATTGCTATACGAGCGGCGTTAATTCTGGATTAAACAACGGTGTCATTTGAAGCCGCAATAAGCGTGTCTTGGAGTTATAAATTATGGGTAGACAGATCTCAAGATCATAGTACAACAATCTGGAAATAAATTTCTATAAATTTCTATTTGTCTATACGATTCCGTTTGCCTTATTCGCGGCATCAGCTCTAGCTAGACAATCTTCTACTACCTCCCAAAACCTCTTGATATCCAGGCCTCTTGGAATCTTGACTCCCTCCTCTCCCTCGGGAAGTAATTTAACAATCGTTCTACCGGTCTCCGATCCTTTTTGGGCATCATCATGACTTCCTTCAGTAACAACCTTTACCTCAAATCTCTCCCTCTTCCTGCCATCCTTGAAATCATAAAACGGAATTTCCGCACCCGAAATGCCATCCATGATAACGGCCACCGCCAACGGATCATGCAATGGTGGCCCCTCACTAATCCCAAAGACTCTATCATAGGTAGCGGCAAAAAAAGTTAGTAACTCCACCAACATTGTCCTCAACGTAGTATTCTCCTTTCCTTCCTTCCCATTCCTCAACATATCCTGCACTTCCTTCGTGGCTAAAACTTGATGAGTGATATCCAATGGAATCAACACCGCCTTTGTTTTCAGAACTGAGTGATCGAAAATAAATGCTGCGGCCTCGGGATCAACCAAGATGTTGAATTCGGCCCAGACGCTCCAGTTTCCAATCCGCTCTTTATGGTCGACTTGTCCCAATACCGCGTTTGTGAATCCGTTCCCGACAGAACCACCCATAATACTGACGCCCTTGATATGCTCGGCCAATCCCTCATACTTCTGAAAGCACAAGGCAATATTTGTCAGTGCACCCGTAGCAACAACCCATGCCGAGCCTGCTGGGGTAGCAAGTAACGCCTTGGCCATAGCATCAATCGCAGGTTCATCAACTGGCCCTTTAGCTGGTGTCGGTAAAAGATCTGTTCCTTCCAAGCCAGATTCCCCATGGATTGCTGGAGCGTGAACACCCGGGCGTACTAATCCAGCTCCTGAGCCCCGGTAGACGGGGATGTGAGTTGCCGATATGGCTGTGAGGAGAGAGGTGGCATTGTAGGTTGTGTGATTTATGGAGGAGTTTCCGTGAACGGTGGAGATTCCTAGGAGATTTAAAGAGGGGTGATAGGCTGAGAGAAGGATCGCGAATGCATCCTGTTGATTTGATTAGCTATTTATTTTCTTCATCATAATATTTATCTCAGCTCAACGATTCTCAACTTCTTACATCTGGAGAATGGATCATGTGACTACACATAAATCCATTTCAACATCTCTAACTTTTGCATAAATGCAATGCACAGGGAGCTTATTGAACTCTAAAACATCCCATGTTCTCTCATTCTATGCATCCAACATGCGTCGCATTGACAGACACGAAGACGTGATGTAAGAAGGTGGATATAAGACTTACATCGTGGCCTGCAAAAAGTGTAAGTGGGTGGTTCCGATATCGCGGGGGTTTCATCTTGGGATAATAAACTTACCTGGATCACAATCTAACCAGATGTTGACTTTCTGTTGTTCAGATCCCATACTTCCCATATTTGCAATATTCGTATGTACAATATCTTCAATATTCAAAGATGTTACTTTATCAAGGGGGATTTATGGCGTTGGGAGGAAGAAGCTGTCCTTTGATAAGTTAAAAGTGGGCTGAACTAAACTTTGACATTAGGTTACCCGTCTTCCCGCCAAGCGAAACGGACATCTTGCCGCAAAAGGTTCGTTCATGATTGATGATGATCACCAACGTTGATGCAAGTCATTTTTTTGTAGTAAACGTACTGCCACACATCAGCTAAGTCGAAACTCCAAGTTCTGCTTTCCTGTTGCATGCAGATTTCCTGGTATTTTCATGAATGGAAGAACATAGTTCGAGGATCACTGACTCCCATGTTCTTTTGGTGCAACAACGCAACATCACCAATTAACTTTCGGAACTAGGGTTTCTATCGTTCAATGCAGGTTCTCTATTTATCCAATACTAAGTTCGGTATTGGGTATCATAACACATCCAATATTGAGCCTCACCACAAATCCAATGTAAAGTTGCGGATTACAAACACCAATTACGACAGAGCTTTGTGCATGTTAGATGCTTATACGCTGTACATCTTGCGGCAAGGAGTTTCCATACGCCATCTAGTTGAGTATCCAGTGGCCCTATCGGGATGTCCTCGCTCTAAGTAGAGTGTCGAAAGCTTCCCCCTTTGTGAGTGGTTACACAAAGATGTCGGTTATGTACTTGTTCTGTGCTACGATGCTCCAGATGTTCCAATTATTGGGAAAACATTTGAAGAGAAATCCTCAGTGTTCGCTTCTTTGGCGTACCCTTTCAACTTGGTGGTCGTTATTATTGTTCATGTCGAAGTGCAAGTTGTCTACACTTGATAGAGTTTCCGATAATCAATAATATATACAGCAGGTCGCGTGAGGGTTGTTACAAGTTTGCTCTCAGCGATGGCCCATGGGTCATTTTGCCCGAATCTTAAACGCTCGCGAATGAAGAAGGTGGGCGCTCAAAACGATTGCGGACATTTGAGTGATAATGTCTCATATGATACAAGGGTAAATACTTGTATTTTTTTGTTACTGCTGAAGCAAGGAGATCAGCTACTGCTTGCTCTCAAAGAAATCAATCTTCACCTAACTCAAATATTACTTTACGCTATTTGATCCACCGAGAAACCTCGCAAATCGGACCCCATTCCTTTTGCTTGAGATTACTACGCCGTACACTTGCTTGGAGTTATCCAATCGTCCAAACTCTAGTCACTGCTATGGATAGGGCGGACATCAGCTTATGAAACAACCACAACACCGGGAGTGAAGGCCCATTCTTGTTAGTTGAATATGTTTCCACAATACACTCCTGGCTTTCGATGATGTGGATGTGAAACAACTAAACTGGTGGAAGTGAGGGTCTAGTGCCATCAGTCTCCCCAGTCTCGATACCGTTGTCGAAGTGGAGATAACGGAATGACCAAAATAGTGGATGTGAGGGTCTAGTAACCGACACGTGGCGCACTTAGTCTTTTAACACTACCAAACATTGTTTATATTTCAATATACTTCGGTCCAGCACCAACAAATTCAGTTACCAAAAGCTGAATCACGATCCAGAAGCAGAGGTGAAATTTAACCTTTGGGGGTCTCACATCAATGGTGACTGATGACATTTCCAGTGGAGAAACGGAGAGATAGAAAGCTTTAGTAGCCCCTTATAATAAAGGGTGCAACCTGAATGTGAAGCCTGCAGGATGGGAGTTTTCAATAGGCAGGACATATGCCAGAATGAACTCATATGACAAGTGATTGAAAACTGCATCTCTTTTTTGAAAGGTTCTCACTTTCTCCGAAACTTCTATTCTGAAACAGAATTTCATAATTTCAGCCGAAACAATAGACCTCCACACGAAGCCACGCAAGAACTGATCAAAAGACGCACCCCGTTGTTAAGGCGACATCGCGTTGAATCGTCGGTCAACTGGTATCAGCTTCTCTCGCTTCTCGCTAGCCACTCCTACCCCATAAACCCCGTTCCACATTCCTCGATGATAAAGGTATCCGATATTGAACTTTGGATCATGGGATATGAGTTACAAATTGTAGTAGTTGAGAACTGGTCTAAGATTCTCATTTTACACAACGGAAAGATGAACATATAAATGAGGGTGCGCGATTTTATTTCCTTCTTGTTTCGTCGATCTTCAATCTCATCCCTAAATTCGTTCCTCGTTGCGACACTTTTATTTAACACTCACTCTCCACAACAAAATCATAGGAGGGTAGGTGTCCAAATGCCATTCCATCAGATTTTACACGTCGAAGAGCTACAGATTTCTTCGTGCGCGTCATCTTGAAGCACATCCGCCGGGGTATTACGCTCTCTTTCCTCGACCTCTAAATTCAAATACCTGGCTTTGAATTCCATCTTCCGTTCTTGTATTCGCTCTCTTTGGCCTTTTGTTTTTCACACTATCCCCTTAGAATGTGCATCCGCCACATCCAGCCCTTCCCTTCGCCTCATTGTCAATCCCAATTCGTCCCCTTGCAACTCATACACCCACCAAGACACGTCTTTCTGAAGGAAATAGATTTTTGTTCAGGTTAGTTGCGGGAACTGAGATGCAACCGATATGCACAACTTGCTAATTAATTTTCTACGCTCAGGATACGATATGTCGAACTATTTAACATGCCCAAGAGGATTAGAGGAAGTTGTTTGGGAGATCTGGCCAATGAAGCAGGCTTGTTGCGATTGTGAAATGGAATTGGGAGAAGGCATGGGGAGATTGAGTTTGTGATGATGGCATTGGGAGAGTGGTGATGTGAAACGGGAGGAAGACCGAGGTATGTGAGTTGGGAAAGTAAGAATTTGGGCGAAGGCTGACGTGAAGACTAGTCTGACTCTATCAAGCTTGTGCGTCACCGATTCAACCGAGCCATCTCCTTACCCCCTTTCCTCGTTCTCTCTTCATATACTCGAGTAATAGTGCGCGGTGTGTGGGTCAACTTCATTTGTTTTTCTAAATTGCTTACGATGGAGCCATGCAGGAGTTTGGACTAAGATTGTTTGTAATGCGGCATGCTTTAACAGGGGTTATGGGTTTTATTATTCTTAAGTTTTTCTACTACTAAATCAACTCTGCTGGAACGGAATTGGTTATCTCGGTCTTTACATCGTATGTTTTTTACGGCTTGGATGAATGGATATGGAATTTGGACAGGGAATGAGTTGGTAATACCGGTGCAATACGAACGGATCGTTAGGAATTAATGGCAGGTAGGCATGGAGCGCTCATAGCTAATTGATCTTGAAGTTTATTACTTCTTGAAAAGTTCTCTTCTCAAGCAATCTCAAACAAGGTTCTTAAAACTTAAGAATTGAAATCAAAATCATTTTTATATGGATAACAAACTTCCTCGAACAGAAATCAATTGCTTGATACGGGCTTCGACCATTCTTCTCAGATCCTCTCTATGACTTTCTATTCTCATGATTCCAAAGCAACCAAAAATTTCTCGAATACCCACGCTTATCTCCTCTATGCAGATGTTTCCATGTGATATACGACAAGTATCAATCAACGATCGATTGCTACTACATACTCTCTATCCCCATACGAATTACACATCAATCCGCTTCTTTCTCAAATAATCTATCTTCTGACAGTACTTCATGTATTGAAATCATAGTAAGGTTCATCAAAGTAGCAAGTAACCACTATCTCGAAAACTAATCCCCTTGAATTAACCGAAAAAGAGAGACGCTTGTGGGAGTTACGTGAGACTGGCTGAGTAAAAGCTAATTGAGCGGGCTATCAAGAATTAGGTGAAGAAAATCCTTTCCAGAGATTAAAATTGCTAGGTGGATGACTTTGAGGTCATGATTTGAGGGAGTAGTTTAGGGGAAGGGATGGGGATTTGGGATTTTAGGATATGCTGTACATGGGAGGTTGAAATTACGTAGATTGTTATTCGTGGAATTAAAAGGAATGATGAATTATTGAGTAATGTCTTAGGTCGTGTCTTTATATACTTCTCTTCAGGATACAATGGTTGATGGATTCTGTGCTCTTTGTTTTATGCGAGGACTATATGAAATCATTGAAATGTCTACTGCATAAGATTCAAAATCAAGAGTGTTGAAAGGAGGGAACTTCTGCGTGAGTCGTGATTATGTCATCGAGAGACAAAAAGCTTTAGCGTCATAACGTGATACCGCGTTTTGGTAGCGCGATCGCGAGAACGCCACCCATTTACGCTTCTTCCCTTGAAACTTAACATCATGTGAAAGCTATTGCCAGAAACGCCTGAAACATGGCCAAATTACAGGCTGCAACAGTTTCCAACAAACCAGTTCGGAAGCGCAAACGGAAAGATATCGAAGATGCGCATTTAGATGCTACCTCGCCCACGTCCTTCGAATCCACGGTTGAGCAGGATCAAGGAGTATTTGCGACAACCGGCAGCATCACTGTTCCCACGAAGGAAAATGATGGTGGGAAAAAGCCACGACGGGTATCGAAGGGGAAAGCCACTCCTGCGCTCGCTCGAAATGAATCTTCATTCACGAATCCGGTAACCAGTGCCATTCAATGGCCTCTCTCTTTTCAAACTCTCGAGAAGATGCATCGAGCACTGAATTTAGTCTATACATTCTGCTCTACACGAAAACATCTAGCAACTACTTTCGATAATCTCAAGAGTGCGGTTGAAGGACATATAAAGCGGGAGCTAAGGGTCGAGGATGTTGCACAGATAGTGGCGTTGCGTCCGAATGGAATGAACTTCTCATACGTCGATGAGGCAATGTTACAATTGGATGTTCGAGGCGCAGAAAGAGATGAGACTTTCAAGGGTGTGCGGGCGAAGAATTGGCACGCTGCTGGACCTGCTCCAGATGCTTCCGTGGGAGGACTCACAGGTGTCGAAGGTTTAGGGTATGGTGAAGGAGCAGATGGAGAGGGCAAGGAAGTTCTACTGTTTGAATTCATAGATGGTGATCTGAAGAGACAAGTGCAAAGTAAGAAGACGGGAGAAGCAGTAAAGGCGACCAGAAAATTAAAGGATGAGGAATTGAAGATGCCGGTTTTCAGTCAAAAGCAGATGATGAATTTAATTGAGAAGAGGAATACAAAGTTTGTTAGTGCGATCAATGCGTTTCTTAATCGATGCGAGGCAGATGGTGTTGATGCAGAAGCAACTTTGCTCAAAGAAGCTGAGCTGTTAATTCCTATACCGTCAATATCAAGAAGCAGCACACCGAAGCCAGACCATAGTGTTCTACCCAAAAGCATACCTAAGGAACGCGCAAGTATATCGAGTATCATTACGGAAATCAAAGAGAGCGAATGGTATACTGGTCAAATTGTACCTGATGGGCATCGTGTCTTCGATCCTCAAGAAGCGATATACGGAGATTTGAATTTCGTGCTGAGTCAAAATCTGATTAATGCCTTGTACAATACCAAGAACATTACGCAATTTTATGCTCACCAAGCTGAAGCTATCAATAATCTTCACGATGGACATAATGTTATTGTAGCGACCTCGACGAGTTCTGGAAAATCTCTGATTTATCAGATACCCGTTCTGCATGAGCTTGAAAAAGATCCGCATTCTAGAGCAATGTACATATTTCCCACCAAAGCTCTAGCACAAGATCAAAGGAGAAGTCTGAAGGAGATGATGAGATTCATGACCGGTCTTGAGGAAGCTATTGTGGAGACTTTTGATGGGGATACGGAAATGAAGGATCGAAATATAATACGCGATGAGGGTAGAATCATATTCACGAATCCAGATATGCTACACATCACCATTCTTCCACAAGAGGACAAGTGGCGAACCTTTTTGCAGAACCTCAAGTTTGTTGTCGTTGATGAAATTCATGTCTATAATGGACTATTTGGTTCTCACGTAGCTTTCATAATGAGACGGCTGAGAAGAATTTGCGCGGCATTAGGCAATCGACGCATTAAGTTCATATCTTGTTCTGCTACGGTTGCAAACCCTATGGAGCATTTCAAAACAATATTTGGGATAGAAAATGTACGAATGACAGATTTTGATGGGTCACCTTCTGGTAGGAAGGAGTTTCTCTGTTGGAATACACCTTTCAAGGATCCTGCAGATCCTGCAAGTGGGCGTGGAGACACACGAGCTGAGGCTGCTAGATTATTTTGCCAGTTGATTCTCCGAGGAGTTCGAGTTATAGCCTTTTGTCGTGTTCGAAGACAATGTGAAGCTTTGGTTGGTGCGGTGAAAGAGGAACTGGCTACCTTGGGACGTTCTGAATGTATGGCGCGTGTGATGGGATATAGAGGTGGATATACACCACAAGATAGAAGACGAATCGAAAGCGAGATGTTTGAGGGGAAACTCATGGGTATTATTGCAACAACGGCCCTGGAACTTGGTGTGGATGTCGGATCTTTGGATGCTGTTCTAACCGTGGGGTTTCCATATACGATTGCGAATCTGCGGCAGCAGAGCGGAAGAGCTGGACGGAGAAACAAGGATTCGCTATCAGTTTTGATTGGTGATTGCTTCCCTAGTGATCAGTACTATATGAATAATCCGGATGAGATCTTCACCAAGCCAAATTGTGAGCTACAGGTCGACTTGCAGAATATGCTAGTACTTGAAGGCCACATTCAATGCGCCGCGTTTGAAATGCCCATCCGTCCAGATGAAGATGCAATTTATTTTCCTAAAAACTTGGCCGAGGTAGCGGAAGAGCGACTGGTAAAAGACGAGCTTGGTTTCTACCATTGCAGCGAACGATATAGACCCACTCCGTCAAAATTGGTCGCAATTCGAGACACTGAGGAGGATCATTTTGCCATTATCGATATCAGCCATGGTAAGAATATTGTTTTGGAAGAACTAGAAGCTTCTCGAGCGTTCTTTACCCTCTACGATGGTGGTATATTCCTCCACCAAGGAAATACGTATCTTGTCAAAGAGTTCTCGCCTGAGCGAAAGATCGCCAAAGTTGAACTTGTCAAGGTCGATTGGACAACTCAACAGCGCGACTACACTGATATCGACCCAATCGAAACCGAAGCTATCCGCCGCATTCCCAACTCCCTCTCTCGTGCCTTTTTCGGCGCTATCAAGATCCAGCAAAATGTCTTTGGCTTCTTCAAACTCGATAAGAAGAGACGCATTCTCGATGCCATTCAAGTAGACAATCCGCCTATCATTCTCCATAGTAAGGGAATGTGGCTCGATGTTCCTAAACTAGCTCTCGAGATCCTCGTCGAAAAACGTCTCAATATCGCTGGTGCTATTCATGCCGCAGAACACGCAGTCCTATCACTCATGCCCAATTTCGTAATAAGTATGCCCGGAGATGTCCGCACGGAATGTAAAATCGCCGTGAAAGATTTCGCTCAAAAAGAAACTACTAGGAAACGTCCTGCTCGTCTTACTTTCTACGATGCTAAAGGTGGAGCATCGGGCTCGGGTATTAGTACTAAGGCTTTTGAATTCATTGATTTGCTACTCAAACAAGCTTTGAGAAGAGTAGAGGGTTGTCATTGTTATGAAGGCTGTGTAGAGTGTGTTGCGAGTGAGAACTGTAAACATGCAAATGAGGTCATGAGTAAGGCGGGTAGTGAGGTTATTCTGAAAAGTCTGCTCGGGATGGAAATTGATGTTGATGCGTTGCCGATGGGGCCGGTGGATGAGAGGGATAGGGGGATTGAGACGGTGGTTTTCGCGGAGACGGTTATGGGTAAGGGGAGAGTGAGGGGTTTTGCTGATCTGGATGATGGGGAGGAAGTAAAAATTAAGAATGAGCCAGAAGACTGAATTGATTGAAATGGAGCGTAAGTGCATTGAAGAGCGAGTAATGATTGTATGATTGATGGGTGCGTGGTTTTTTAGTATCATGTATGATCACATCACAGTCAACATTTATATATTATTGGTACAAAAAATCCAATCAAACGAATTTACCAATCCATCTCTATCACAAGGAACTTCGTCTCATACTTTGTTACTGCAGCTGTTCAATGCGGAAAGATTGTTTTGGGGCCTCGTGACAGGAGCATGAGGCCATATTCAATAAGCGAGAAAAATGTTAATTTGCGTGTTTCAAGTCATACAAGAAGGAGAGAGAACCTAGCGATGTGTTAGAAAGGATCTCTTTCTTTCATGTTTTTTGTTCGGTCTGCGGATGTGTTTTGATAATTTTTGAATTTTTGATTGTATGATTCTTGTGGATTTTCTTGAATAGGTGGGTTAATTTGTTGAGGGGTTTTAGTTGAATATAGGGGTATACCTTATCACCCTTTTAACTTTGATGGAAATGCTTTTACTCTTGCTTTTATTATGGAATGTATCTTTGGATAAGATCATGTTCTCGTTTCATACATTTGGATAGTTTTACTGTCAGTCTTGCATGATCTTCCAGTAGAACCACGATTTTAACATTTTCAAGTGGTAAAACATTTTAAGAAGGATAAAAAGGGGGTACCGACTACCCTCTGACCAAGACTGTCAGTCGGTCCTAGTAATGTGCTTTATCATTCTTAAACCATATATTTGAATTTTTTTATTGAGAGAAATTTTAGAGCTCTACTATCAGTTGCTCATTGCATATTTCAAGTATATCTCTGTGATATCTACGAATAATGATCTTGTTTGACTGTTATGGTACTCATCCAGCAGTATCACCTACGGTTCTGAAGTCTCACTTCACATGAGAATTGTCTTGAGAATAGAGTCGAGTTTCTGGTTGGAGCATCACGACTAGTACTGTCATGTTAAGCTTCCAAGTGCTTCTTAGTCTGTTTATTGTACGGTCAAGAGAGAGACTCATGATTTTCTTGAAAGACTTTCAAGAGTATAAAGGTATGAAGTTTCTTAGATGTTTAGTTTTCTCCATCAACAGCTCCTGAGTTTTTACTCCTTGGTATCTTGACATCAACAAGATTCTTGAATATCTTTTCAAAATCCTCAAATAGCAATTCACATCCACCCTGTTCTTCATCTACTTTTCTTTTCTATTAAAATTCGTTCAAAGGGCCTTTCGAAAAAATCGAAACATACCATTCTTTTCACAATGAGCAAGATGAATGCTTTCCGAGGCACAGATGTCGCTTCGTTGGCATTCAAGAAGGAATTGATCCAATTGGCACCGGGATATTATCTCGGAGATCTCCATCGTCATATTTATATGACGGGACAAGACCTAGTACGCGATGCAGGCACTGCGTATCAAGAAGGTCTGGCAGGAGAAGAAGAAGTGGCTGAAGATGTTGAGCCCGCCCACACGAAGAAACCTTGTAAGTTTCCTATCGCTCTTTATAGAATTTGCCAATTAACATATCTGCCTAGTGATGAAATCGTTTCTTGATCTCATCTTGACCAAAAGCATGATTCATGGTAACAGATCATCCTTTGAACTTGCGTGCCGAAATTGGCTCTCTTCCGCCCCAATGTATCATCCAGCATTTAGTTACTTCAGATTTGAATACTTGATGTTTGGGCAAATTGATTACAAGTCTTGTTTTCGGGTTGACGATGCTCCTAATTGTGTCAGAAATACTGATATGAGAAACTATCCAGCCCCATCGTACTCGTGGTTGCATGCACTACCAGAAGCTTTCACCGGAGATGTTAGCGATACAGAGACCCTCAGAAGCACTGACGACCAAGTCATAAATGATTATGATAGGGAAGGCATCTACAACTCCGAACATAGTGAGAGGAGCCGAATCATCAAACACGCTGATGAGTTTAGCCAGCCATATCGGGCACTTTTGAGGTCCCCTGAAGATTCAATACCCCTTGCGAGCTCAGCGTACATCCCACCTCACAAGAGAGGCGGTCCTGATATCTCACACTCGCGATCACAATCCGATTCTGTTGTTCTTCAGTCGAAGACTCTCCCGGGTAGAGGCAAAGCCAGCCACGGAAACCAGTCTGAAGACGGCTCACAATGGCAGGGGGACTCCAGTTTGGGCAGACAAATATCTACTGGAGGCTCTTACAAACCACATTCTAATGCTCGCGTGCCAAGTTCTTCAACGAACGCTCCTAATGGCTTAACAACACTGAGTGATTTTAGCAGATTGCCATCGACTGAAACCAATTACAAGGCGACTGGACAAGGCACCAAGGCAATCAGAGGTCTCCCTGACAATCTGAACTGCTCAGTATTTGTGAGTCATCTCCCAGAAGATGTCAAGTATAAGGAGATTTTTGCAGTCATTACCACCGGGTCCCTGGTATCTGTTCATATCAACGATCCCATTCCGGGGCGTCCATTCTCCGCTGCCAAAATCACCTTCAAATATGCCGAAGGAGCTGCTAGATTTATGGCACTAGTAAATAGTCTTCTGGGGGTCCAAATTCGCGATCATCATCTCGCTGCCGTCTATAATGACTACGGCATGGTTGAACACGCCCAGGAACATCAAAGCCGAGTGATACATATTCATGGACCCTATAAACTCATGACTGAGAGTTTCTGGAGAAGATATTTTGGCAAGGTCACGAGATATCAAATTGATCACGTTTCGTATTTGCCATTCGACCCAAAAAACAAGGTCACAAGGGCCATGGAGTTCCGCTTTGCTAGAATCGAGGCGCAGGCTCAGTCCATTCTGATAGCTATCATCCATGATCCTCAGTTTGAGGGTAAGGTGTTCTGTAAATATGGGCCAGATCCTTGTGGAAGAGATTGGGATACCTTGCCTCTTAGATGATTGACCTTCAATAGATTAATTATGGTGTAATGAATGAAGTTTTGGAAGGGCTGAGTGGGTACCAATGGCAGGAGACTTTGGCCCAGAACAAAAAAGACTCGCATCACTGAACTTGCTTGGTGAAAATTCTAGATATATAGTGCAAAGAGAATAGAGGTAGCGATTTCTTTATAATAAGTATATTGAAATCAAACTAGAGTACTTATTTTCTTGAAATCATTTTTGTTTGTGATATAACTTCCTTTCTTTGATTAAGTGGGTGATTAAATAATTGTCACATCAATTGAAAACTGCGCTGCTCTCCTCCTCTGCCTAGGTACCATCCTCTGATTCTTGCGAACTGAAACTTTGCAGCTGATAGAGATAGATATTCTCTTCGAATCTATTCTCGTAATTAGACTTGATATCGTTTGCGGATGTAATTATGCGAAATGGCACACAGTTTATAGTGCAGCATACATTTATCTCATAAGATCCATCCAAAACTATGCTCCTATACACGGCGCTGGAAATTTCTTATCCATTTGGATGAATACCAGAACTCCTGACCCGTGATTGGTAACTGGGGTCATTATTTTTCAGTGAATTGGTAGGCTTGGGTCATTTCAGTTGAGGTAATCCTCGGTTAAGTCTTGGCTGCGCCTGGATCCTAATTCACAACTTCAAAGAAACTGTCTAGATTCATGTTTCAAAAGAGGAAATGGATTTCTTATCTTGTTCTTTGAACATACGGCTGTTAGAGAATATTATGTGTTGAAGTTTTGAGAGAAAAAATAAAGTGTACATACAATATCGAATGAAGTGATATATGAAATTTGGCCTATGGTCATGAATCAGAGGCACCCATGGCTACTCTGTCTTTGTGAGTCCGCTAACTATCTATCTGTTAACTTTCGGAATTCTTTTAAGAAGACGGTCTAGAAGGCAAGCGAACGAAGATCAAGATCGCCATTTAATAGTAAAAAAAAATGGTTCGACTTCCGCTCCAACTGCACTTCCTTCTCGAAATTCTAAAAAGTCTGCTGTCCTATATTCTCTTTTTGGAACCATGTGAAATTCTTGTCTTCCGTATCAAAAACATCATATCATTGAGTCTAATTGAATAATACTCTACATAGGATAACTTGCTCAATGATATAATTCTTTAAGTCAGTTTTCCAACATTTTCATCGTATCACAGCCTCCCGAGGCTTATCATATAATCTAATTTCAATTTATAGTCGAAACAGAGGTGCCAAGAGATGAGCGCCTTGAATCGTACTGTTCTTCACCAGCTCAGTTTTTCTGCCTTGAGTTTCAGTAAAAATTGCCAAGCCAAGCTAGCTTCGTCTACATTATTTTTTCAAGATATAGAAGTGGCTAATGATTCGCTTACCTTGAACGTTGCGAAAGTAGACAGATATGTGTTAGCTAATCTATACTAAAATGGGAGTTGTCTGGTGACATCAATATATTCACTCTTCCAATGTGAGCCGTACACAATCTTATCTTTAAGTTCAATACAAATTTTAGAGCAGTCGGATACGGCTGTGAATTGAAGTTGCGCGCATTTTGCTCGGGTAGCAGAAGTTTTATTTGTTTAAAGTCTTCCATCCTCCCAAACTTCCATCTAACTACCAAGTTATTTTCAACGACTTTCCTCGTGGTTTCTTTGCACATTCATTTATTTCACACAATTTTTCCTGGAATCCCTTTTGGGCAACACGTCCATACAACCTGGAAGTCTTTTCTCGTAGTTAGAAATATCTCAGTATTGTATCCAACAGTTTAGAAAGAATATTTCTATACTTGTTGCCTTCCAATAATTCTCTCGTTAATCAACGCTCGTTTTTCTCTTAAAGAGATCAGTAAACACCAACTACTCTTCTTGATTAATTCAATTCAAGATGGATATCACAGTCTCAAAATCTTGGTATAATGGTCGCACCCTGTCAACGGAGAACTCTACCAAGAATCGCAAACCCCAAGGCAAATTAGAAACGGGAGCTCGGTCAAGTACATCATCCAAAGCTAGTGGTATGTTTCCCTTCTACCAAGTTTTTATTTAAGTAACGTGACTAACCTTGAGTCAGATAACACAATCATCGCCAGAGATAATCCTGCTCCTTCTCGAGTCACAACAAATCATGTCCAACGTCTCGAAGGCCTTGCTATTCAAGCAGAGCATGATCAGGATGAAGAGAATGAGTTTGAAGTCGAAAGCGAGACCCTGGGCCAAAGATTCGCGGGAGCGATGACTCTCGATGAATCTGTCAAAAACTCTCCTCCAAAGCGCTCCCGATGGCACGATATGTTCGAGTCTCGACACCGAATGACAGCTCCACAGAGTACTGCCACTAATGCCAATCGAAAGAAATCGCCATTGAGTCTATTTGGAAATGCTTTGCCCAAATGGACGCCGACGAATGGCGCTTCTAATCGGATGATGGGCTCCAAGAATGTTTCAAATCCATCATCAACACCGGGTAAGACCCCCCGCTCAAATGACACCAAATTGTTCAGAGCTTTTCTGAGTCGTGGTGACGGAGCAGTACCTTTCTTCATCTCACCCACTGGTACCCATCAACAATTCTTTCCGGTCTCTCCACGCTCATCTCAGAATGCTTCTGTGGTCGTCCCATCCAATAATCCTCGTGAAGGTGTTGCCGCTGTCGGTTTCGTCTATGCAGCACAGCCAACTCAGCCATCGCAGCCATCTCCGGTAGCTCAGCCAACTCAGCCAGTTCAACTAGCTCAACCAACACCGCAACATCTGAGGACTGTTCGATCAATGAACAGTTCCAGAAGTATCAATTCGAGGTCAACGGCCCACACGAGGACGGACACGAGTTTCTCTACGACTCCTGGTACTGATACCTGGACCCCCGCGGACCGCAGTTTCGACACTTCTACGTCCCAATACACGGGCCATACTCGGATGACGTCTGCATCTGGAAGTTTTGTTGACAAGAGTCAGCACACTCGAATGGCTTCTACGTCGACTGGTTTTGGTAACTTTTCATACCATCCCGCCATTTTTGAGGATGAACAAATGAACACTGGCCTCATTGATGATTCATTAACTGAATTCAGCGACTTTAATCAAGTCGCCCCGGAGATCCTCCCAGTTTCAATGGACTACTTCGCTCAAAGTATAGCTGTTGCGCCGACAACTGCATTTGCTTCCCAGCCTCCACTAATGGTCATGGATAATATCATGATGAATCCACAAGTCACAATTCCAGATCTCTCTCATTTGGTGAAAAAGTTTCGTCCGACCAATATGCTTCTCCGTGAGCAAGGTATGATCCCGGACAAGTCTCGACAAGATACTAACTACGAGGGTGACGAGAATCATCCTGATCTGCTTGATCTTCCGGAACACATCAACTGTTGCATGTGGATCATCAACATTCCAGAGGAAGTCGGATATGCTGAGTTCATGCAGATCCTTGATTGTGGTGCCGTTGCTGCGCTTTCTATGGTCAGACCTCAAAATGGCCATACTACACAAGCCGCCAAGGCGACTTTCAAGACCAACGCGGCTGGTGCGGAGCTTTACCGTCGTGCTCGCAACAAGGGTGGTCTTCGCATTCGTGGCCGTAAGATCAAGGTCTGGTACAATGATTACGGCGCATACGAGTGGAAGGGCCCTGAGACTCGCTTCCTGGAAATCGAAGCACCTCAACAACTTGATGAAGCTTTCTGGCATGGCTACTTCGGAAGTTGGTGCAAGTACATCGTCATTTCTGTCACTCCAATGCCATGCAGGAAGTATGGATTTGCATGTACAAGGTTTGAATTCGTTCGAATTGCAGGACAAGCACAGACTTGCTACCAGGCAATTCAGAAGGATATGTCATTCCTAGGACAGGTGAATGTCCGATACGGAATCGACCTGAATGAGGTCTAATTGAGATGCAGGCGATTGATTGAGGGGGTGGAGGGATCCGATGGGTTCAATTTGAATGTTTGGGTATGGAAGCGATCAGGATATAGGCTAACGGGTCTGAACATTGGATCTTTGTTACTGATGGACAATAAATTTCGATACCGATGCATTGGGAGCAACAAAATTTCCTCGAGTGTATTCGTGACATAGAACAAAAACAGAGCGAGCTCTCTCGCGTTTCGAGTCGACGGTGTGCCAAGCAAATCCAACGTCGAGATCCAAAAGCTGGTAACCTGACAAAAGGAGATACACTGACCACAATTCTGGAGAGATTTAAATGTTGGCGAATGATTTTCGAAAACACAAAGACATACAAAAAACGGTTGGAACATCCCTCAGAACTTACAGACCAGGAAACTGTAATACATCGGCAGCAAATCTTCATGCTGGTTTTGAAATTGCTTCTGTCCTACTGGACTCGATGAGCTTTTGGATACATACACCGAACTTTCCTCCTACAGGGTTATTTCCTTTGTCTAAATATTCAAAAATTGGAAATTTAATTGAGGTAATTCTCGTATTACATGGCCATAGGTGTGGAGAATGTATTAGTTAGAAAGACAGAAAATTTACCAAAAATAATTTAAAAATTCACCATTTTATTGTAATTTGTTTGAATTTGAATCTTTTAACTTTTCGAACCCCGTCGAATGCTACGCACTATCATCACCTTCTCATTCTGGGTAATCCTAATGCAATAACAGAAACTTTTCTCGCCGTCTTCATCTTCTCCCTAGTATATAAGCAAGCGACAATGGCGTTTCATTACGAGCAAAGCTAAGGGATATAATTGAACGTATATAACACGGTAGATGATCTTCCTGGTTTTACACTTGCGTCTAGAATACTTGATATCAAGGTTGTATCAAACCAAGCTATAAAAATAGAGATGCAAAAGAAACATTCGTATTATAAGTAATCCCGATCGAAGCTCCAGTCATCTACTTTTAAGTAATACTCGTATCAAACAATCTACTCATGCAGCAATACAGTTCTTAGTGCCTAGATTATAAAGAACGATATATAAAACATGCCTACTAACTTCACGAGCCGCAATCTCTACATTTCCTTTTATCTTTGAGTACTTAAATCAATCGAGGAATCTATGAGGCACTGGGATGCCAGACAGAACCAGCTATTTTTTCCGCAATAACCTTCAGCATTAGCATCTAATTATCCGCATAGGTTATGGGATTACTACTCATATACGAATATGGTCGCATAAACAGAGGGTATGATGAGAGTTGAAGGTAGTATAGTCATATAGTATAGTAATTTGCGGATTTCACGATATCACTTGAGGAAGCTCGTCCAATCCTGCATCGAAAAATCAGGGATTTAGCAATTCATAGCTGTTGATATGTTAGAATTGTATCTAATAGATCTTTTCATAAATGCTTTCTTCTTGGGAGGTAGATCTCTGGACACAGTCATTTTTGCAACAACACCAGCCCATCGAAAGAACTTTGAGCTTGATAGTGAATCTCAGCCAACTAACTGCCATCATTCAAATATATCAAACTCATCTGAATTTGACAATACTTCTACCATCCAACCTCCACACTCTCAGCTCTCTTCTTCTCTCCCAACAACCCTCCTCCCGCTTACGGGGAATCCCTCGCACAAGGATCCGGTGCATAGTCCACAATCAAATGTACTCCATAAACAGGATGCATCTGCAATGCCTCCAAACACTGCGTTGCCTGTCCATTAATTCTCGCAAACCCCATAATCATCTTTCGATTTCCTTTCACAGCCGTCTCAACATATTCCCAACCGGACAACTCATGATCGCAAAAGGTTTCAAAAAATACCTTGAAATGATCATATATTACGTAGCGACTTGGACCTTCAATAGATATCATACGAGTTTTACCTTCACTCTTATATTGACGATATCCGAATGTGTTGTAACGTGCGTTGACTCTGCGTCCGCGAATAACAACTCCCTCTTCGCTTTCGCATTGGTCTTTGAACCGCGCAGCGGCTTCAGGATATTTGAAGACGAGTTTTGCTGCAGACATGATGTAATCTCCTTGCGGACGAGTGATCTCAAAGGCGGTAACGGCACCGATATGGATTTCGTCGAAAACTTCGTGTGCTTGAATGTCAGCCGCGAGATTGGTGAGCCAGAGGGCACAGTTGAGATGATCGGAAAGTCCGCGAATACCGGCGCGCGGATTACCTTTGTAGTTTCCGGAGGAGGTCTGAGAGTCTTCCTCTGAGGGAACAAATGAGCCGTTTCGTCGTTGGAGCTTGCGGGATGGGGCAAGACTGAATTGAGAGGCGTAGGGATCGATGGAGGGGGGTAGGTCGAGTTCGGCGTTCATAGACGTTATGGTGTGCGGATTATAAGTTTGGACTCGGTTATCGAATTGATGTGTTGCATCGGAGGGAAAATGAGGTGCTGGTGGAAAAGTTGGGGTTTGAATATCATGATTTGTGCTTTGGAGAGGGGTGTAGGTGGGAGTGACACTACCGGAATAAGACGCGCTGAAAGACGCAAATTGAGTAAAATAGTTGATCGGAGGAGAAATTTGTCCAGTTTCGTGTCGTCGTTGTGCCCAAGCTTCTTCGTCGTATAGATCTACCGGATTATATACATTGGTATGTCTACTATTCTCTATATATTGGGGCCTGGCACTTTGCTGATTGGGAGATTGGCGGTATGCTCGTTGCTGTTGGGGTCCGGCAAAATGATTATAGTTGGTCCATATATGTCCTCCATTACGAGGTCTTCTATTCTTTTGAGAAGAAGGATGTTGAGCCTGAGAATACTTTAGAGCTTCCGGAATAATTAGATCGCTGCTAGGAATTGTGTGTTCTCCAACTTGTTTTGAGAAGATCTGTGGCTCATTAGGGTCTAAGTTGGTATACTGGAGTGTTACTGCTCTATTTTCTGCTGCTGGTCCAAAAGAAAATCTGTTTGGGGGAGCTCTTAGCTGTCCAGCCTGATTATATGCTACGTATTCGGAGGTATTTCCGGAAAGAACATGGTGTCTAGCCATATAATCCCCATCTCTCTGCGCAAAATTGTTATTAGATAATGAGTGTGTGAAAGTGTTCATACTCGGCTGGATCATGAAGCTCCGATGAGAATTTTCGAGCTGACTGCACTCATGTTGCAAATCTCGATCAATATTAAAATCATTTGACTCAGCATCTTGGTGCTGAGCATAAGATTGAGCCAAGTTGCCTTGAATTGGAAATTGATGATCAGGTTGATTTGCATGGGAGACATGACTCTGGGAAAACTGGTAAGCGTTTTCTGATGGTCTTGCTTTACGTCGGCGATTATCTTCCAAGACTGCGGCTAATCTTTCCTGGACAGAGGCTGGTGTTGTACCTAAAGGAGTAGTGGTTAGTTTGATGGCTCTTAAGTCGTTGAAGCAGTGAGTGTATTCAGAATAGAGCACTGAAAATGCCTACCATCAAGCAAGAATGCATTTCGAGGATTCATATTTGCATCATATGTCATCGGGAGCATAGGTCCAGACGGTCCAGCTCTTAAGGGATTTGAATGATAGTTCATTTTGACCATCTGGGAGAAGATTCGGGAGTGATTAGGGGGTATTCAAGGTTGGTAAGACCACGTGTAGACAATTTGGTCTTTAGATATTGTGAAGTAGATGCTTGTTTGTCGAAAGTTCCCTGTGAATAGTTGAATGGAGTAGGAAGGTACTGCTCAGATGATTTACGATCTGTCTCGAACATCCTTTATTCCCAAGACTTGTTTGTACGCACCTAGTCGTGTATTAGCTTTGTCTCTTAGCTGTATAAGCAATGGTTGAAACGAGAAGAATCACCTGCAACAACTTTCGTCTCTAATACAGAAGACTATCTGTATGGACCAAACATATTCGAGCAGAGCTTCATTCACTTAGTATCAGTGCTTCAAAATGATTGTATGGTTTTATATCCATAAAAAGAAAGACTCGAAGATGAGGGGGTTGGTAAGGACAATCATGAGTAAGTGTTAAATCCATAGAAAGTCAGAAGGACCACATCTAAACAGTTCTTCATGCTATATATAATTTTGGTTGAATTTTATCAACGGCCTGGTAGTTAAGTACATTGTACTCTTTTTCACTATAGTGAATAACTTTTGCACTCTGATAGACAATGTACACTTAGTAATTTTCTTATTAGCAATCAAAAGGCTAAATATGCTTATTCTATGGCATGGGTCCAAACAAACTGATGAACACTGCGATATGTCCGCTGTGAAACTCTCAATATATAGATATATGTTATTCTTTTTCAGGTCTCATAATGCCAATATATCAAATCAAAGCATGAATATATCAGAATTCTTTGATATTCGCCTAAGTGTCATTTGAACTTTTGAGGTTGAAATTTTCCTCAAATTAGGGCTGTGATACCATCTCTGGACTAAACAATGCGATATCAGTCTTCTATACTATTTTTTACTGTAGAATTTAGTCTCATTTCAATATTTCCAGCCATGTATCTTTCCAAAAATGAGCAGTACCTCCTCAATCCAGCTGCGATAAAGCCGCTAAGTAACCTTCAGTCGCCAATAAAGCAATACTCGTATCAATACGGCTTTTTCTCAACACCTCCCATACCTAATCACACTGTAGATATTGACCCCTACTTATCAACCATACAATCTCCCCAAAACCAAAGCCGTACCCCTATTCATACGGTTTTTCCTCAACACTAAGCGATGTCCTCCAACGACATAACAGTGCCCCTTCATTATCATTCTCTCCATAAGCTCTTTAATCCCCGACCTTATTTTCATAAACTCTTCTTGCAAGCTGTTTTCATCTTGATCACAAGTCTTTCACCAAGAACCTTCTCACTGCACGAAGTAATTGTCAAGACCATTTTTTTACGATTCTTGATTGTGGTTCTTTCATTCACAAAAGATCAATAATTCTAGAGACTCGAGAAATTCTTAGAATCTTAATTTTCTATCAAAAAAGCAAACACTACAATCAGAAGACATCCTATCCAGCATGTCTTCATTCAATTTCAACTCCGGTTTTCCTCGCAACCAGAACAATCAGAATGATTCATTCTGGAACCCAATCTCGCCTATCACTAGTAAGCCTCTACTACACCAAAAACCATATCAAGCCTCGCTAACCCCCAGCCTCAAAGCTACTCATCATCGCAGACAAAGCGAATATCTCTCCAGAACCATGACGAATGCTCTAGGCACAGTACCTTTGCCCAACTTCAACTTCGACGAAAATAAGCCACGTCGAATTACCTCTCCACTGTCCAATGTGAAGCCCATTGGATATGAGAGAACAGTCTCACGCCAAATGGGATATTCTCATTTCAGCATCTCGGAATCTGGGGAAGATATGCCTTCGTTTGAAGAAAAAGAAAATGGTGACAATAGTCCCATTACTACCCAGTCTTTGGTTTATGGGATGCAGCCAATCCAATATGGGGCGTCCAAGTCGAGACAGGAAGATGAAGTTTCTGTTCTGCATCTTGAGACTTCTGTTGTGAGACCGAATGTCGACGAGAGATCATCTACTTCAAAGGGCAAAAAGTCCTATGGTACCCCCCAGGGATATATTCCCTATTCTCATGCTCGTGATTATGTTGCAAATACAAGCATGCACCCTTCCAGTGTCGTCGGCGGACATCGAAATGTTACAGCGGTTTTTCGAGGACGACAAGTCCAAAACAGTCTGCCTTTGAGTAGCGGTGAACAATACCCGTCACCTACTCATTTTGAGCCACTTGGTCATCGTGCTGTGGGATATCAACACAACAGAAACATGACCAGCTACGGAGGTCCTGGGCAGTATATGTCTCAGTTCAACGCACAGGTAGTTGGTATCCCCTTGAACATTGATGGTGACAACACCCGCAACAGCCAGATGTCTCAGAACAGCTTCGTACACCAACAGAATAACGAAGTCCAGCATGCCTCAGGAACATCCTTTGGAAATCCGCACGCAAGTGCTTATACGGCACAATACACACCAAGCGCTACCTCCGCCAGCGTTTCATCCACGGTTGCTCAGACTTTACACAACAGATCTGACGCACCATACCAACCCGGACTCCGATCAACGGAACAACTTCTGCAGGAACAAAGCATTCTCGCATCACTCCCCACCAACACCTCAGCCGCCTCACACCACCTCGGCGACAACAAAGATCGCGAATTCGCCAGTAAATTCGGCGGTGAATACAACCTACCCAATGAACTGAACTGCGCCGTCTGGATCAAAGGCATCCCCAAAGATTTCGCTCGGGAATTCCTGTACCAGGAATTATTCAACGTCATCTCAGCCGGTCCTATCGTCGCGGCCTACATCCGTCTCGGAGGGGATCAACACCCCCGCCACGCCGCCAAGGTGATTTTCAAGCACCCTGAACACGCGGCTCGTTTACTCCGAAGAGCATCTGACCCGGGTATTAAAATCAATGGATATCGTATTCGGGTGGAACCCAATCGCAATGGACATCGTGAATTTCCGCTTGAACTGCATTATCAAAGTCGTGTGGTTCTCGTTGAGGTATTCAATAATACTAGCATGGATCTCCCGTTCTGGAAGATGTTCATCACCAATCTGTGTGTGTATGACATTGAAAAATGTAGGCATCTATCCTACAGTACTCCAGCGCGAATGGTGATGGAGTTCAGATTTGCGCGGATCTTTGGGCAGGCGTCGGTTTTGCTTGCGGGGATTAGAAGCACCGCGTCGTTTGAAGGAATCGTCACGGCAAGGTATATTCCAGATGTGCCTTGTGACATCTGTGATACGTACTGAGCTGGGCTCAACTTTGTTGAAAGGGGAAAGTACTTGTACGATATATTTTTGGTAGCATTGTTTCAGTAAGATTACAATGACGATAAACGGAGCTTCTTTCCTCAATGTTTTTCTGTTCGGGGGTAAATAGCAAAAAGGCACGATCTCAAATATAAAAACAATAATCAAAATACCACAAATTTCAAACAAGTGAAACAAACATCATAATAACGTGATCCAAAGCTTCTGATTCCGTGAAGTGATTTACTCGTTCCCCTGAGTCTTGATATAAATCAGAGCTGCTCGACACTCGTAACTCCCACTAGTCGATCGCTTGGAAGAGCCGATTTTTACCTAGGGTATTTAACCTCTATGAAGTGATTATCCTACTCTACACAGACTCTATAATCTAGTTAGCTATCAAAAGCTATTCAGATATTATCAGGTAAAAGGCATTACATTCTTGAAAAGTAAATAGGTAATAGTGATAATTATTCACCGGAATTCGTCATCTAATTTCTACTCCCCCTCAAAAAGTATACGACAACCTATACATACGTTCAGATCAGGCTAATTAAAACCATTCTCATACCCTCAAAATGTGATCTGATTTACTTTCATATCTTGATCATTTTGTTGTATTAAAATATAGAATTAATTGTATATTTGAATTGATATTGATTATTGAAAAAATTGACCGTGTCGGAGTTGGTGCTACCAAACACCTGGGTGGTTGATAATAATATGAATAGCCGACAAGTACTCCCTGTATGTATAGAATCAACTCTCCCTTTATAAATTCTACTGTTTCTCCCCCCATAGATCCCACTATTTCTCTTTCCTTCTTTGCTCTTTTGCTCTTTCCCCCTTCATTTTTAAAATCCAAATTAAATTACTTACAATCTAGTCACCTAAGTATAAGAATCATTACAGAATCTAGAAGATTCAAGAACACAACATCTGTGATTTTGAGAATAAAAGAGTAGTTAAGTATCAATTTCAGGATGAAAGAGTAATCCATCGAAAAGTATTTCGTTCCACTTTCCAACTAATCTTCTTATATACACATACTATCCAAAACCCATACTCAACCCCCTTCTCACATGAAATAAAAAATAAAAATAACCCCCTCGCTTCACTCTACTCAACTCCATCCCATGAATACATAAATCCACAAAATCAAAAAGAACATCCATATAATAACTTTTGAAGTATCTCAGCTCACCAGTATAGCATACACACATCTACTCACAACTCATCTCACCTCAACACAATTTCCAACATCAATTTTGTAACTTTCCGAATCTGGATTCACCCTGAAGAATACGACATCCTATCTCCCATCTCCCCTCACCATCACAAGACATTTTCAGATCCTTTAGCGTTACATTCCCACTCAAAAGACACACCCTCTCCATATACAGCCATAGCCTAAAAGTTCCAACTTGTAGCCATCAACTGTTCGCAAACCAATCCATCAGCAAATCCCAGCCAACATATATTTAATTTCCACCGCAATCTCACACCCATCCCTCTATTTCACCCCTTCATCCACCCATCCACCCATCCACCCATCCACCATCCAACAAAAAACCCGTACTAAACCTCCTAAGAACAAAATACCCTAAATCCCCTCCATTTCCATTACCCTCCCCTAATTCTCACTGCATACACATTCCATTCCATCCCTCAATCTTCATACCCAGACCTATCCCTATTCCATATCCTTCATTTCGCTTATTTTTATCAATTCTGTATTCCGCATCCCTACTCTCTTTTTATTCATACTCTTCGCTTTCGCATCCCTCACCCTTCCATGAGATTCTCGCTTCGGTATCTATATACCCCTGACACCCCGACTACCCCTTTTACAGCACGATCCCAGCAATCCTCACTCGCACACCTCACCGCTACACTCTTCACGCCCACCTCACTCACCCCACCCCACGCCACCCCACCTCCACCTCCCCTCCCTACACTCCACCTCCACCTCCACCTCCACCTCCACCTCCACCTCCACCTCCACCTCCACCTCCACCTCCACCTCCACCTCCACCTCCACCTCCACCTCCACCTCCACCTCCACCTTCCCATCCAGACAATACTCTCTTGCCTCTCTCCCCCTCCCCCTCCTCACCACTAAATACTCCAATCTATTCAACCATCCATCCACCCATCCCTCTACCCACCCAACCATCCACCTAACCAATCAATCACCCATCCCTCCAACCAATCACCTAATCAACCAACCAACCATCCACCCACCCAACCAATCCAACCATCCAACTATCCAACCATCCAACCAACCACCTAATCATCCAACCATCTATCCATCCATCCAACCATCCATCCATCCATCCATCCAACCAACCACCTAATCATCTATTCATCCATCCAAACAACCATTCATCCCTCCATTCACCATCCATCCAACCATCCAACTATCCAACCATCCATCTACCCACCCACCCAACCAATCCAAACAGCCACCCACAAAATAAGACAATATCCCCACAAGACTTTCAAACATCAAGATAAGAGTACTACCTATACCTAGGTACCTGCCTGATATCCATCCATCCATCCATCCATCCATGAATAAATTCATGATTCAAAAAAGATATTCAAAATGTTAGAGATATCGTATTATATTATATCATATCAGGATACGATTGAATTGAATTGAATTAAATTCATATCCATCCATCCATCTATCTATCTACCTATTCATAATTACCTCACTATCCATACCTAAATACCTACGAAAAAAAAAAAAAAAAAGAAAAAAAAAATCTACAAAACTTTTTGGTATCATAATACATCCATCCCATGCAAACCCACTCCATGCTATCCCATGCCATGCATTCATGCATTCATGCATTCATTTCTCATAACAGAAAAATTCGCCCAAAGACACAACAACAACAACATGCTACCTATGCATCCAGAGAATTTCCAAGGGTCTGTCCTCTATGCCAACTCAAAAGTAACATGTCCTCAGCAAGCGATCAAAATATTTCTCATTGACATCTTTGCCAACCAAGAGTCCCCCATCTCGACTATTGCAAAACTCAGCTCAGAACTCCAAGTACTCCCAAACCCTTTTTAATGCCCATCATGCTATGCTCCAAAAACTTATGCTTCACAAAATCATCACATCGAGTATTTATCTTTCAATCCCATCCCCACAGAAATGCCCTCATCATCATCTCATATTACCCCATCCATCCATCATCGACCACTTTTACCAACTCGAAAATGATCTTTTCTCAAACCACGATCTCGAAGTCTCCGTTTCTTCATCAACTCATTTACATCATATAATACCAAAGGAAGTACACAGTCCAAATCCTCAATTTGCTGTCCTTGATCTTGAATCATCTGCTCCAAAGTTAATAGACGCTCTAGAGTCTGTTCTTCAAGTAACACCATCTCAATTCGATGCGTGTCAACCAGTTCCTCGATATGCGCTCCATGTCTCTTTGAAAAAGCTGATTCTCGTTCTTCCGTAAGACTAAGAACAAGGGACTTGAGCTCTTCTTCTGTTTTGATACTTGGATTCCTGTTCTCCTTATCCGATGATATAATTTCATCCTTGACACCATTCAATAACTTTTCAATGCGGGCTTCATACTCATCTCGGAGTATCTTCTGATGGTTTGTCAAGAAACTTTCAATGAGTGGCTTGAACTTTTCCTCGTACTTGATTTCGAGCTCGGTTTCTCGTGCAAGCATGCGTGCTTGAAATGCTGTTTCAATGTTCTCATCGTACTTCTTCCTTAATGCCTCATCCTTCTCCGTCAGATACTTCAGTAGCATTGGCCTAAATGTCTCTTCATATTTAGCCTGTAATTCGCGATCCCGTTTGAATACAAAATTCTGAATTAGAGATTCAGTCATTGCCTTGTTAATTTGAGCTTCATTCTTTAATCGATTTTGCATCTTTTGATCCATGAGAGTTGCATTGACTTTCTGATTCTCTTTGGATTTCAGAGTGAAATCCTCACATGCTTTCTCCAAACTTCGAACTTTTTCATCCATCCTATTTATGATTGTATCTGACAGCTTGTGGTGAAGTTCCAGCGTAGACTGGCGGTGCTTTACCTGAGTTTCCTGTAACGAACAAATCTTTTGTGTCAAATTTGCCTCGGATAATTCAAGCTTTTCTTGAAGTTGAGTGCTAGAGATTTGGCCTTGCTCTTCTAATCGCTTCTCCATTTCTTGAATAATCTTCGGAGTTGAGTCTAAGAATGCAGTATGCTCAATCTGTAATTTCTCCATGGCAGAAGAATTTTTCATAACCTCGGTATCTAGATTCCGTAGTTCCTCTTCGCGATCTGATTGCCATCTTTTCCATTCAGACGTCAATAATTCTGTACGCTTGGTGTCGAGACCAACATTCGTTATCAAATGTGCGAAGGATTTTTCTCCAGCTTCAAGTCGAGCCTCGCATCCAGCCAATTGAACTTTCATGGCCGTAATCGTTCTCTCTGCGGCCGCTAGCCTTTCCTCGAGAATTGCTTCTACTGAGCCATTCTTTTCTGCCTGTTGTTTCTTTAGATTTTCAACATGGTTTGTTATATCAGCTCTGACAGTGACGAAGTTTTCACCTATCAAGGTCTCTAGCTCTGCAAGCTTAGAATCGTGCTTCTTGTCTGTAGTATCAATCCACTCGGCAGTCCTGTGATCCAAAGCCGTGAATTTTGTAGAATCTTGGCTAATCTTTTTCTCAATAGACTTTATCCTACCGGAAAATTGCCTTACTTGAGTATCAAGGTCCGAGCTAATCTGCGTTTTCAAAGCATCGAACTGGCTCTGATCATGTTGGGGGCCACGCGAAACTCTGCTCTTGAATTCTTCAAAATCTTCATATCTCGAAGCTAACGCAGTCTGCAAAAGGTTGACGCGTTCGTTCAGTTTGTGACGTTCATCTTCCATCTGAGATAGCATCTTTCTGCGAAATTCTTCCTCCAGTTTACAATGACGTGATAGGTCATGTGCTGTGCCTTCATACTGCTGACCGAGAATAAAGAGTTGACTGCCTTGATCCTGTATGGCAGATTCAATGCTTGGTATTGGTGCCTAAGGGAAAATGTTAGTCTCTTTGGCAATTGCTCTACAGATTGTGTGCAATGAGCACTGTTTACCTGCTTAAGAGCTTTTATGCTGCCTTGGACATCTTTCAGCTGGGCTGAATGACTACTCCTCGAAGCTTGCAACAACTCATTGACCTGTTCCACTGATTTTAGACGTCTAGACAATTCGACTTGTTCTTTAGATCTAGCTTCCGCAGCAAGAAGTCTAGCGCTCAATTCTTCTGTGGATAATTTGCATTCTTCCAATTGAGAGAATAGCTCACGGTTACGAGTCTCTGATTCATCAAGTTGTCTAGCCATCTCCTCAAATCTATGCTTGTGTATATTTTCCGATGATAGCAATCGGTTTTCCAAATTGCGTATATGTGCAGTCAAAGGACCGATACTTTGCTGTATGGCGTTTGCTATCATGCTTTCTATGAGTCCACCATTCGCACTTGAGCTTTCTGACATTCCTGCTACAGGAGGCACAGGTGGAGCATGCACAGGTAATGGCGGTGGTGGCATGGCTGAGTATATTGACATTGCGGAGATAGGTCGAGACGTAGCCGAATTCTCAACTCTAAATTTGACATTTTCCAGATGAGTTTTCGATTTCAAATGAGTCTCAAAATTATTCGTCTTTTTGTATTTCGAGACCTTGTGTTCGGTATCGCAATCCAAGCATTTAATATCGTGGAGATCTGTTGCTTTAAACCGAGAATCCGGATATTTTTGACGAAGTTCACTTAGACCTCTTTGAAGCCAGATTGGCAGGGACGACTAAGAAGTTAGTTTACAAATCCATTCATTATGCCGAAACCACTTACCAAATTTTCATCCTTTAGTTCTGCATTGGGTGAGAAATCTATATGCTGGTAAGGTTCAGATTGAACCGATGGACTGTAAAATTGCTCCGGAGCAGAAATTCTTCGATTTCCATCCAATGGCGCAAGTGCGGGTCGTGCCAGTCTCTGGGGACTAGAATTTCTGCTGTCCAACCTGGAATGGCTTATGGAAGGAGTGTCATTCCCAGAACCATCGCTCTCTTCTACCTCTATTATTCTTCGCTTTCTGAATCTCGGCGCCAATCCTTTTGGATCAATGCCTTCCCTCAATTTTCGATCGACACTCTTATGCGATTTCTCCACCTTGACATTTGGCTCTAGAGGTTGTACGGCATATTCGTCGGCGTTGGTTTCGTTGTTGGACTTGGTGGGCGATAAATTGATGTCTCGAGGCTTGACAAAATCGTATAGTCGCAAGACTCCCTTGCCCTCATTATTCTCAAGCAATTCTAACGTTGTACCCTAGCTAGAGTTAGCACAATGGCGATGGCAAGTAGAATCTGATCTATCTATTACCTCATCCAGCATTCGCGATACAACAATTTTGAAAGTCTTTTTTTGTTTCTTAATCAAGGCCGGGTTCTCTACCAAGACGCGATCGAGTTGATCGAGATAAGGCTGTTGTATTGCAGTACCGGAAATGCCTTCGCCCTGTGGAAGATTGTAATCGTAGAGGAATCGAACTACAAAATCCCTAATACGGATATTATCCGCATCAGAAACTTCGTCGTCGGCCATGATTGCATCCAATTTGTTGATGAGGGGAGGAGGGAGGAGGGGTGAGGGGGAAGGAAAATGTCAGGTGGATTCGTGATTTCTCGCGATTTTGGCGTTTGTGTTCCTGGATCTGGATCTATCTACGATAATAAGCTCGGGAGGAGGGGAGTAGGTTACTCGAGTACCGAACCATGGCACGGACAATTATGTAAGTACTGATTTTTGACCCGCACAAGCTTCAGTTCCGTCATTGTAACTTACGAGTAAACGCGGGGAACTTTTAGATTCGAATTCTTGGATGAACCTCACCGGGCATCATCAAATCATGGGAATTACCTCTAGGAGCTTTCTCTCGATATCATTGCTATACAGAATTATCTCTACCTACCTAGCCTTCTCGCTGACTACAACTACCTAGCTACATGAATGATCTGAATCCTTGCGCGGTTACATACCAAAACAAGGTTTGTGTCCGCAGCCAAAAGCCACAGGGAGGAAATCAAAAGCAATAATATGACAGACAAATCCATGGTACAAAATAAACAAAACAAGGGAGATGATTGAGAGCTTATCATTGCTCATTGCCTATTTGCTTCAATATTCTCCCTTTCTTTCGAGAGAGTCTATCTCTATCTCTACCCCATATCTGTCTGACAGTCGCAGGAACTTCTCGCAATCATCTCCAAGTAGAAATGTCCTCCAGAAAGAAAAGACAGTCTCTTGCTGAGGCACCATACCGGCCTCACTATAGCTCTACGAGCCTTCCAAGTAGTGCGGCTTCCCAGACGAATATACCTGCTCCAATACTGCGATGCTAATCTCACATAGCTTCTCGTCGCAGCTCACGACGTAGCACATTGTTGATACCCAAATCTCCAAGCATCGCTGTGGATGAGACTGATATTAACAATTCGCCTCATGATTTCGATAAGACTATTACAACTCTAAAGTCAGCAGCAGAATCTGTAACGGTTCGAGTTTGGCAAGAGACAGCAGACGAACAAGCACGGGCGATTCAAGCTATGAGGTCTACAATTGATATCAAAGATTCACGAATTCAAAAGATGAATCGAAAGATTGGAAGACGAGATAAGACTATATACAAATTGATGAGACGATTGGACCACACCAAAACAGCACTTTCAAAAGCAACCTGGCCAAAGTTTGAAGCAACGATGGGTATGGGAATCGAGGATGACGAGAGAATGAGCATGTTGAGGAGCAAAACACCGGCTTCAGTAAATGGGCTTTGCACAGAATGCGGAGAGAGTTGTTCTCGTTTAGTCAAAGAGAACCAGCAACTGAGAGATCGATTAAATGAGGTTGATGGGTTATGTATCAGACTCAGAAATGAGTGTAGCAAGTTGGATATCAAAATTAAGGGACTCGAGAGGACTTGAGGTGAGATGGAGGAACAGCAAGAGCGTGTGTTTGAGTTGAGTACTTGTGTTTGATACCGGTTAGATATAAACACAATTCAGGTATTGTATGGAAGCTATCAATTAATCCCTTCAAACAAGATATATTGTCTGAAATGGTTGTTTTCGTCTGAGGTGATCTCGTTGTTCAAGCGCAAGGTTGTTCAAGCAACAATTTAGCATTCCACATAGGACGACAAACTCGTGTAAAGGTTCATTTATTATTTCTTACTTCACTTCTTTGCTAATTCTTTCTTACTTCACTCATTTCTTATTCATTTCTCACTCATTTCTTATTCATTTCTCACTCATTTCTCACTCATTTCTCACTCATTTCTCACTTCACTCATTTCTCACTTCAATTCACTCTCACTTTTTACTTCCTCCCGGATAACCCCTCGTGGTGTGGCTTATTACACTCTTTTACTTTTGTTCCTTTTAATTTCTTTTTCTAGGCACGATCTGACAAATTTATGCAACTTCCCGTCGCTGCCCACAGACATCCCTCTTTATATCACAAGTCTTTCATTTATTCTCGAGTCACCCAAATCTCATTCCATACTTTGATTTGAACCAGGAGGACAAACAAAATCCTTCATTCACTTACAGTTTCTTCATTCCACAATCCATCACTCCAAGTGTTATATACTCAAAGTCATTTATTCAACGGCACTTCTGTTGAAGTACGAAACCGTTTGTAATCTCAATCAATACTGTACAATCATGACGTCGAATAAAAATAAGAGATCGACTCCTCATAAATCTCCTCACAAGTCTTCACCTCACAAACTTCACAAGCCGGGAAAAGCTCATAAATCACCAAGAGAGAAAGTTGCGCCTGCAAGACAAAGTCTTCCAATACTTCCCCAGAAGAATTCTGAAGTCGTTCCTCCAATATTACCTCCTACACGAAGAATATTGTTTCCTCAAAGTCTCAAGAAGAGTAATAGTAAGTAGTTACATCTATTCCAAGGTTTGCGATGATTAAAAAGTGATAGGTCAACAACCTTTCTTGTCTCCCCATTCTGTCAAAACAGATCATCAGAAGACTAGTAAGTACTAATAGGTTTCTTTTGATATGAATGAACCACTTAATACATCTCTCAGAAAAACACACATTATCCTCTCCAGCTGCGAAGTTTTCAGATGATCGACCATTCAAGAAACCGTGTCTTTCATCTCCATCACCTGCGAAACATACTAGACTTCTACCTGTAACACCAGAAAGAGTCAATGGGCGAGAAAGAACAATTCCATCAAGCGACGATGAAGATGAGAATGGGAATGAGAAAGGAGATGGAGATGGTACACCAAATCCGCCAAGTCGAAAGAGGAAAGCGAATTCCATGGCCGGTGCAGCAGGAAGTCACAAGAAAACACCATCGCCAAGAACATCCGTAGCAGTCGTCATTCCATCAAAACAACAACCTTCCTCCTCATTCTCTACTATCAATCCCAATTCACCAGCCGTCCGAAAAGTCGATATAACTGTTCTACGACTCGAGAAAGAAGAACTACAACAGCGCCTAAATGTTTCGTTGCAACAAGCACAAAAAGCCATGAACGAAGTCAAGGAATGGGAGAATAGATGCAAGGAAACAACCGATGTACAAGATAATCTCAACAGACTTCTTCGTGCTGAGATCGAGGATAAGGAGAGACTTCAAAAACAATTGGAATCTTTCAGAGAACAAGCACACGGACTCAATCTCGAAGCGAAGACTTGGGAGAATAAATGGAAGGAAGCCGCGGGTGAACTCGATGTATTGCGGAAGCGATTTGAACTCGAGACGAAAACACGGAAAGGAGATGAGCCTACCACAGAGAAATGGCGACTTCGCTACATTTCCGAACATGAAAAGACAAGCAAACTCCAACGCGAACTCAAGCAAATGAAAAACGCTCCAGAACCCCCTCACCTCACTCAAAAAATAGAGCAACTAGAACTCGAGCTTTCAAATCTAAAATCAAACCATCACCTCCCCAAAACCAGCAGAGAAACCCCCCAAGAAGCGCACCCCAAGTCACCAACCCCACACCTAACAAAACAACTCTCCCAACCAAAATCCGAATGCCCGCAAAAAAAACCTCATCATGACCACCCTCCCACAATCCCACAACTCCCCACACCAACTCTCCACCTCCCAGAACCCAATCGCTCCAACCCCAAACCCCCATTCCCCCACCCAACTCATCACACACCTCACCACGCAAATCCAAACTCTCCAACAAGAACTCCTCCAAAAAGAACATCTCTCTCTCCGCATCACCCAACTAACCTCCTCCCTCGATTTCCAATCCGACATCTTTTCCCAAGCCGCGCGCACGCATTTATTCGAAAAAACTGCTTTGCATCAACAAATCGCACATCTGAAAGAAAAACTTTCTTCACAGGAGAAACTTGCCGAAGAAGAGCTTGCGGATCTCAAAAAAGAGTTTGCGAAAATGCGGGAGGAGAATTTAGATAAAGATGAGGAGATGGGGATTGTGAATGCGGAGTTTGAGGAGGAGAGGGGGAGGTGGAGGAGGGAGGTGGAGAGGTGGGAGGGGGAGGTGAGGGTGAAGGATAGGGGGTTGCAGAGGATGGGGGGGTTGGTTGCGGGGTGGGTTTTGAAGTGGAGGAGTTTGGGAGGGGAGGGGGAGGGGGAGAAGGGGAGGTGGTGTGCCGGGGGTGGAGGGAGTGGGGATTTGTGTTGATGGGGTGAGGTTGTGAGGTTGTGAGGGGAGGGGTGTATGGATGGATGGATGGATGGAGAGATGGAGAGTTTTTATACTATGGCTGAGTGAATGGAGAGTTTACTATGTATACTACAACTAACTAACTGAATAAATAGATAAAGAGTCTCCCATGTATACTACAACTAACTGATTATGAGTGGGTAAATGAAAGTTTAGAAGGGATAGAAATGGAGAAGGGGAATGGTATGCCTAGAGTGGGGGAGTAGGGGCGAGGGATTGATTGCTGGAGGTTCATGATCAGTTGGCTGGTTTGTTAGGGTGAATTCGTGTAAAGCGAGAGAGAAAGGAATGGAGGAAGGAGGGGAGGAAGGGATAAAGAAATGAAGAAAGAAAGAAGAGGGGACGAGAGACGACCGAGGAGATAGAGACCGACTACAAAGACCTAACTAAGGACGAAGGAACTACGCGACGAACGACTAACGACTAACGACGAACGACGAACGACGAACGACGAACGACGAACGACGAACGACTAACGACGAACGACGAAACGACTAACTACGAACGACGAACGACTAACGACTAACGACTAACTACTAACGAACTAAAACTAACTACTAGCTATCTAGGATCTATTAACTAGAGAGAGCTAGGATCTAGCGAGGAGCGACCTATTAACGACCTACTAACTAACTACTAACGAACGACGAACGAACTACGAACTAACTACGAACTAACTACTAACTACTAACTACTAACTACTAACTACGAACGACTAACTACTAACTACTAACTACTAACGACTAACTACTAACTACTAACTAACGACTAACTACCTACTAACTAATTACTAACTAACTACTAACTAACTATTAACCAACTACTACTAACTACTAACTAACTATTAACCAACTACTACTAACTACTAACTAACGACTAACCTACTAACTAAGTCAGTAGATGAGAATTTATATTTATAATAAGTAGATTCTCATAATAAATAAATTCCTCTATATTATTTTGTACTATTTTGTATTATATTATTTTGTATTATATTATTTTGTATTATATTATATTTTTCTATTTTATATTTTATATTTTATATTTATTATTTTATATTTTTATATTTTTATATTTTTATATTTTTATATTTTTATATTTTTATATTTTTATATTTTTATATTTTTATATTTTTATATTTTTATATTTTTATATTTTTTATTATTCATTTTTGTTTTTGTTTTTTTATATTTTTATATTTTTATATTTTTATATTTTTATATTTTTATATTTTATATTTTTATATTTTTATATTTTATATTTTTATATTTTTATATTTTTATATTTTTATATTTTTTATTTACAGAATCACGAATCTTATATATAAGCGGAATGAATCAACTCAAATCAACTCAACTCAAATCTAATCAAATCAAAATACAGCATCTAATAGAAAATGAAAATGCGACATTTTCTTTCTCCCCTCATACATAATCCTCATTCCAAACCAACATATATATTTTCAATTCAAAAAAGATAGATATAGAAAGATATATCTTCAAAAGGTTAGGCAATCAAGCCCTTTAACCCTATGCAATTTATAATACATTGAAAAATTGAACAAAGAATTCCTACCCTACCTACCTACGCTACCATAAAACCATTAATCAATGAATCAATTCAATCAACTCCTATCCCCCATCTCCCATCTCATTTCTTTCATCCCCAAGAACCATGCTCTCATCTAAATTCTCAAATTACTCTTCTCCCCTTAATCGACTTTTCCACCACCATTAACACCACCCAATAAACCATCCTTACCACCATCATCTACTCTAAAGAAACCACCTCTTCTCGCACCAATCTTTCCTCTTCCATACATCGTGGCACCTAGGATCATTCCTAGTGCAACTCCGAAACTGAGGAATGGATGCCCTGAAATTGCACCCCTAACATTGAAGAATGCTTTTTCGAATGAACCCACTGTACTCTTTGGTTTGATAACTGGAGGGTTCACGACAACCTTAGGAATGGTTTCCAAAATTGAAGTGCGAGAAGGAATGATATAGTTGCCGGTGATTGTTGTATCCCAGTAGCGTCGATTCTATTTGAAGCGTCAATATACCTCAATGAAAATAGAAATGATCGAAAAGAAACAACGGAGGGAGTACTTACATCTTCATCATTAATAATGACCTTTTCACCATCACTCTTAACCTCAATACCATATGTACTTCTAATCCATCTTTCCCAGAAAACTCCATCAACCCAAGCGAATCCAACCTCCTTTTGATCAGATTTATCCATATTAATTCTGATACTCTTAGCAGCTCTCAAAGCTCTTTGGTCATTTCGATCTTCTGCTTCTTCTAATCTGAGTTGCTTTGCATCTCTCAACTCTTGACGTTCACGTTGATAATTAATAATTTGTTTATCCATCCATTCCAACGCAGCTTGCTTCAATTCTTTCTTAGCCATTTCAAAATCATGTTCGCGGTCTCGAGAAAGAATTGCAAGGACAACAATTTTACCATCCATAATTTCGCGAGAATTGGAAGCTGTAAGTTCTGGCACGACAGGTAACCAAACTGATTGCATCCAATGAAGAACCTTTCTGAAATCGCGCATGTCTTGAGGTGCGAGTGCTGTGTAATAAGTTGGTCTACCATCTCGGGATACCAATAAACGAGGCCAAGTTGTAATCTTGTATCGATCAGCAAGAGCAGCACTGTTGGTTTTGACAAGTTTGGCGTGTCCGATCAAACTCAAAGTCAATCTTTCCAATGCAGCGAAATCTTCGCTTGTAGTAGCATGATCGTAAAAGTAAACAAAGATGACATCTTCTTTCTCCTCTAATTCCTTGAACTCAGCCGCATCAATATCCTTAACACCATCTCCGATATCAACGGCCTTGTTGGCAAAGGTAACGAAATCACCCAATCCTCTAAGTCCTTCATATTCGACGCGTTCTCCGCCGCGGAAGAAATGAATGGTGGGATATCCTCGAACGTGGACGTCCTTGCATAATCTAGACTCTGCTTCACAATTGACTTCTCCAATGTTTAGTTTCCCTTTCATTTCCTTTGCCAATTGAGCCCAATTAGGAGCCATAGCTTGACAATGATGACACCATGGGGCGTAAAATTTGATAAACCACGGATCCTGTGACATAGTAACCAAATTTTGAAAGCTCTCGGCTGTAAGGGATACGGATGTACCGAGTGGGTTCGCAGTTTGAGTAGGTTTTGAAGGCTTATTCTCAATTGGTGTGGCTTTAAGGATAGGCTTAGTGGTGATTTTGGCAACTTCAGGTTTCGTTTCCTTGACGGCGTCCTTAACACTGTCCTTGACATTCTCGGCAGTATCCTTGACGGCATCCTTTACTGGAGCAACAGCGTCTGCGACCTCATCTGCTACTTTCCCAGCTCCTGTCTTTGGCTTTTGCGCGGATCCTTCGGATGCCTTTTCTGTAGATTTTTCGGATGTCTTTTCGGGTGCCTTTTCGGATGATTTATCAAATAACTTATCGGATTCTTTCTCTGTCGATTTCTCGGTTGTCTTTTCCGTCTCCTTTGAAGCAGCTGCTCCGGGCTGATAATCTGGACTTTGTGTTGCACGTTCTTCTGGGTACTTTGGTCCACCAATTGGTCTAGAGCCTGGTCTGATAGATTCTAAATTATCCTCGATGAAAGCACCCAACTTTTCCATATCTTTAGGTCCAACAAATCGTTTGGCTTCTTCACCATCCTTATATAAAATAAATGTTGGGAAAGAAGTTACGCCATGGTCTGTACAGGCAGTTCCAAAAGCGATACAATCAAGAGAACCGAAATGGTAGTTGTAATAGGCGGTGAAAGTGTTCATTGAAGTCGATGCGGTATCGTCAGCTCCCGATTTGACAGGTTTCGAAGTATAATAGAATTCGTAGAGAGTTTGCCATGTTGGCGCAATGTGTATACAATGCGGGCAATAAGGTCTAGAACCGTGGTGAGCATAGTGATCTCCCCAACGAGTTGAGAGGATAAATTCTCACGAGTGATGCTTAACAAACCAATAACCTTCCGCGACTGTCTGATTAAATAGTTCTCCATCTATATCGGGTAGAGGGGGGACTTGAACTCCATTAAATGTTGTTGGTTGTGGTACATCAGCAGCTTCCTCTTCACCAGGTAAATCGGGAGAGGAATTCTCTACTGATTGTTCTCCAGTCTGTGCTAATACTACAGAAGCAAAGACAGTCGATAATAACGAGACCGAAAGAAAACGCATATTGAAGGACGAAGTTAGGGGGCTATCTGCACCCTGAAATCAAAAGATTAATGCGGGTCGCGACGAATCCGCCAAAGAAGGTAAGAAGGAGAGGTTCGTTGTCCTCAATTAATTTGAAATATGACCGTCAATATATCGCATAAGTATCGTAAACTCAAGAAACGTCTTGAGAAATCGTTATGTATCGTGGGGGATAAAAAGAGTGAAGTGATGTGAAGAAAGGATCTCGACTCTCATCTTCTTTCATTTACTCCATACAAATTGATGGAACACAGTTGCACCATTAGCGTTGTTCGCTAACAGATTGAATCCTTGTAATTTCTTTTTTTGGACGAAATTTCACGTGATTATGGATCCTTCCCTTCCTTCCTCCTATCACTTTTTAGGTACGGGGTATCTAGTTCAATCACGAGTGAGCAATTACTAGGTAGGTAGTCATGAACATTCAAGAAAGTTCAATATAAAGTGTTTTCTAAACACTACAATCGATCTCTTGAAGTGGCGACTTGGCTTGCCATCC